AAAACCTCTAAAAAAACAAAAAAAATAGATGTGACCTCCACGAGGAGCATTTATAAGAAGCAGAGCAGCTGTAGGGACTGACTATTGGGTGAATGTCACTTCTATTGTTGACTAGATCATTTTTTCTTTAAACTGGTCACTTTCCTGCATACTCTCTAGTCAGAATCCAGCAGGAACAAGTGTGGTTTGCAAATTATCAAATGCTGAGCTCTGATCTGATCAGTAACCTGTCCTGCTCAGAGGTGGAAGGCAGAGTTTCCTCTGTCTTTGATGAACAAATATTTTGTAATCAAGCAACTCTATCAATTAAAAATACATATCACAGCCTATACCCCCAGTAAGTAGGTAAGTATTTATAAAAAATGTGGATGAGCTATTATCATTGACTAACACCTCAAAGCACAGTAATTACCTAGGACAAGGCTTATTATGAACAATGAATGTGAATACGTATTTCAAATAGTCCTGTTAATCTGAAAATCTTTTAGCTGCAGGACCAACAGTTGGCGTAATGGCTGTGTCTCTGAACTCCCATGTAGTCGAACATGGTTCGAGTCCCAGACCCAGTGGTTTAAACTCACACCAGGCACATGTGCATGCGTGCCCAGCATCCCGAGAGGAGAATGGATGGAGGAGAAGGGATTGCGGCGTGGCCACACACCCCCCCGGGGGTGAGGGGTGTGATTTCTCTCTTCCTGTCTCTCTGTCTCTCTCTTTCTGGTGAGCGCACATACCCCTATAGCAAAAACCTCTCCCAAAAAAAAGAAAATCTTTTGGCTGCACTTTTTTTGTTAGATCTGATTAGCTCCTATATATATGTTTTTTACTTTATAGCATGGCTGAACACAAGTTCATACCGGCAGTAAGGGGGGTGAGGGGTGTGATTTCTCTCCTCCTGTCTCTCTGTCTCTCTCTTTCTGGTGAGCGCACATACCCCTATAGCAAAAACCTCTCCCAAAAAAAAGAAAATCTTTTGGCTGCACTTTTTTTGTTAGATCTGATTAGCTCCTATATATATGTTTTTTACTTTATAGCATGGCTGAACACAAGTTCATACCGGCAGTAAGAGAAGTGATGGCCTGCTTTTTACTTGTTCACTGGTGCTTCCATTATTAGCATTACTTTCAATTCATTTCCTTTCAGAAATCTTTTTAAGCTACCTACCTATATTTTAAATGCTAACTCACTTCAAACTAGATAATGAAATAAGACAAATCTCCTTACCTCGGCACAAGTGAATTGCACTTGTGATGTGCTGAGTGGTTAGGAGGCATATGGACCCCTCTCACACATGGGGCCACCACCCCTCTTCCATCAACACGCCACATAGGTCTTACGGTGAGGGACCCATAACCTCTGCTCTGCCAACCACTTGAAGGTGCCACTGTTGATCAATATATTTAAAATGAGGATGGCTTAATTTCAGTCTTTAATTTTTTTAAGGTCAAAGAAATAGATACAGAGGAATTTCTGTTTTTTTGGTTTTGTCATACCATGAAGGATAATCTCTTTTTTCCTCTGGCTTCAGAGGCAAAGTCAAGTTTAGGGCCTAAAGTTTATACAGGAATATAAAATTATTAGTACACAATCAGACATGAAAGTGAATATTTATTTAGAATGGATAAAGAAATTGTAAAAGAATATTTTTTTAAGTTGACAATGATTTAAAACTTTTTTAAAAAAAGCTAGAAAATCAGGGCCAGCAGATGGCGTAGTGGTTAAGATGCCTGACTGCCACATGCCTGATGCAGGTTCAAGTCCTGGACATGGTAGCTTGACAATCACACCAGGCACCTGTGCATGCATGCCTAAAATCCTGAGGGGAAACTAGAGAAGAAGAGATTACAACATGGTCATCACTCCGGGGGGGTGATTTCTCACTTTCCCTCTCTCTGTCTCTCTCCCTGTCTCCAGCAAGCACACATGCCCTATGGGGTGTGGGGGGGGACTAGAGAATTAATATTGTTCAGCCATTAACTGCTTACATCTTCCTAAGACATTTTTTCCTACTTTTCTTTCACTGCATACTTTGTGAATATTTCTTCACATGACAAATTGTAATATTTACTATAGAATCTTTACTATAATTGATCCAAATGTGTTTTTCATTTTTGATAGTTTAGAAGTTTCTTTCAACTTTATAAGTCATTATTAATAATGTCATAAACTGATTGACTAAAGGATATAGAAACACAGTAAATGGATGTAAATATCAGATATAGTATGTGTGAAAGAGGAGGGTCTGAGGAAGGACATTTAGAAGAAAAATAGGGAGGCAAAGCATTAATGGCACAAAGAAATGTGGTATTATCTGTTGAAGATATTTTATAGTGTTATCAACTGGACTAGGGGGAAATGTTCACCTGTTGAAATATTCATTTTGTAAGCTAAATAATGTGATTGAATGTATAAAAGAAAATGAAATTTAAAAATGTAAATAAAAAATAATGTCATAAACATTTTTAGAATTGCTATCAAATCTGGTATAATCAGCAACGGCATTTCCTTGTGCAGTGATTAATTTTAAATAATGTTTGAATTGATGGCATTTATTAACCAGTTTTTCCTCAGTATCCTCATTATAGAGGTATTTTCTAATACTGGTTATTGTCATTAATGTCAATATTTCTCACAAACTCAGAAAGAAAAATGTTTCCAATGTGATCAAATGATTTATTCTTCATTATTAATTTGATTATTAAACAAATCAACAGCCACTTTGTTATATTCTAAATGTATGTTTTCCTTTAATAAATTATTGCTTTTGATCTTATCTGAATTTTTCACTCTAAATTGCTCCTCAATATCAGAATAATCTCTACTGACTTTATTACTCAATCACTTCTATTTCATATTTCACAAATTTTTATCTTAATGACATATTTGTAGATAAAAATTTTTTGAGAGGTTTTTGCTATAGGGCACATGCACTCACCAGAAAGACAGACAAAAAGTAAGAAATCACCCCCCGGGGGGGTATGGCCATGCTGCAATCCCTTCTCCTCCATTCTTCTCTTGAGATCTTGGGCACACATGCACACATGCCTAGCATGAGTTTAAACCACTGAGTCCAGGACTCGAACTGCTGTCAACTACATAGGAGTCCAGCAACATAGCCATTATGCCATCTGCTGGTCCCACAGATAAAAATTTTAAATTACAAGATAAGGGACAATTTACATATGCTTGTTAAGAAATCAGTAATTTCTCACTTATTTCACTGAAACATTCCAAAACATCTTTCAAAAAGCAATAATTAATAAGAATCTAGTAATTATGACAAACTCTATTTTAAATAACTCCTATTCAAAAAAAAAAGGAAGAAGAGAAAAATGGAGATGCATGGTAGATTTAGAACATATTTTCTGTTTATCAAGTACATGTGTGATGGAGTGAGCTTCCAATTTGCATATGTATCGATGAAAAATCTAACTCTCTACTTACAATTTTATACATCTAAAAATGGAAGGATTTTCTACAGATCAGTTTCTGGACCCCTATATTGCAAACCTTGTCTCTCCTCCACAACCCACATACTTAGGGTGCTGGGTGCTCTTGGCCAAGTTGACATTACAGTATGACCTCTGGCCCTGCACCTTCATGTCACATCACCAGGAAAGCTGGAACAGTGGACAATGAAAATGATTCCTGGGAGTCAATCCTATTCCAGATAACTAGCAGTAACTTCATTATACAGAGAAGTGACTCCTTAACCAGATCCCCAAAATGTCCACAGCCATTCCTTGACTTACTGGGAAATCTGACAAAGAATGAGGCATAGTGTAGAGAGAAATAAATCCTAGCTAAACACAGTTAAAAACGTCTAATAAGGCCAGCCAGGTTGCATGGTGGTTAAAACAGCTGGATTACACATGGCCAACTGCATGGCTTGAGCCCTGGACCCAGTAGCTTGAAAAACACATGTGTGTGCATGCCTAAAATCCTGGGAGGGGAATGGAGAAGAAGGGATTGCATCGTGGTCATCACCCTGGGGGATGGTTTCTCACTTTTTTTTTTCTCTCTCTGTCCTCCCTCTCTCTCTCTCTCTGGCGAGCCCACATGCTCTATAGCAGTTTTTTTGTTTGTTTGTTTGTTTTTTGTTTTGTTTTGTTTTAAGTCTTACATTTTAACGTTTAATAAAAACATGTGACCCTACAAACTGACAGAACTCCTTCCAGGACCTTGGAAGGGTCTGTGCAAGTAAGAGGCTGAGGCTTAAACTGCACTAGCTTCATAGTAACTCCATCTTAGACTCGATCAACTCCTCGAAAGGGCTTCGTTACTACACACTGACTGTGAGAAAAGGCAGAAGTTGTGCATTGCTTCTCTCAGATACCTTCCCATCGGGGATTGAAGAATACACGACGTTCAGGACCCTGACACATGTTTCCAACAGTCTAAGTATGTTGTGTATGTATCTAAGTCACACATGATACATACCTCATGGGTAATATAGAACTGTCAAATTATATTTTCCAAGTTCAATATATAAAAAAATTAAATATGTAACTATAGTCATTCATCTGTATTGGGGGCTTTTCTTTTATCACAGAAAACTGCCAATGAACTAAAAAGTGTGCTGCCAGCTTTAGAGAAGGCCATTATAGGTCTAAATGCCCTGGATAAAGCTGATGTTGCTGAATTAAGGTAAGTAATTTACCTAAGTTTCTTTTGAGTTAGAAAAACTCAAAACAACCATATGGTAAAAGCTACTGAGTCTATATTTCATTTTCAAGTTAAGTCTACTTTTATTCATCTTGACTACCTTAAATTTTCATAACATATATACTATATCTAACCATTATGTACCATTAAGAAAAAAAATACTGCCATTAAATGATGATATGCATTTGTTATAAGCTGCATCCCAGCTTCTGGCATTTAGAAATGTGCATGTTAGAACTGATATAATGCAGTATTACTTGGTCTGCAGTTCCACAAATGAGAGAATAATGTGAATAATGTGTACGCCACTGCTGCTTATCCCAGTGTAGCTGTAGGGCGTTTGAGACCTTAGAAATGCCTCAAATCTTACGAGACTGCAATGTTGGCCATTACCACAAGGTGTCACTAAGGGAAGTGTTTCCTCTTGCTCTTCCCTTACTCAAACTCAGTCTTCTCAGGGTGGGGGAAAAATAGGTAAGAAAATATAAGAAGAAATGCCATATTTTATGGTACATATATCTAATCCTGCTGGTTCTAATTTGAATCTCTGGCTGAGATCATTTTTTAATTAATTTATTTATTTTAAATGTATTTATTTTTATTTATTTACTTATTTTTAATTTTAACCAGAGGGGGATAGAGTGAGAGAGATAGATAAAGACAGAAAGTGAGAAAGCAAGCTGCCAGGTCCGGGATTCGAACCAGGGTCAGCCATGTGGGAGTCTAGTGCCCTTGAACACCATGCCACTTGCCAGCCCTATTTTTTAAATTTATTACTATTTTTTTAATTTATTTTTATTTATTTACTTATTTTTTATTTTGGCTGAGATTATTTTTAACTTGAGCTCTCCAATTCGATGAACAAATGGGAATTTGCCTATTATATCTTGGAATGTATTGAATTTTCCATTATCTATAGAAAGTGGTATTTCTTTACTTTTTTCCTTTCAGTTTGCTAAAGAGCATGTGCACTCACCAGAGAGAGAAAGAAAGAGGACATTAGAAAGCACCCCATGGGGAATGGCCACACTGCAGTCCCCTCACTCTTATCCCTCCCTCCTCCAGGGATTTTAGGTACACACACACACACACACACACACACACACACACACACACAGAGGCCTGGCATGTTTTCTTTTCTTTTTTTTTTTTGTTCTTTTTTTGGAGAGGTCTTTTATTTTCTTTTTTCTTTTTCTTCTTTTTTTGGAGAGGTTTTTGCTATAGGGCACGTGCACTCACCAGACAGACAGAGAGAGACAGAGAGACAGAAAGCGAGAAATCACCCCCCAGGGGGGATAGCCACACCCCAATCCCTTCTCCTCCATTCTCCTCTTGGGATCTTGGGCACGCACGCAGACGTGTCCGGCGTGAGTTTAAGCCACAGGGTCCGGGACTCGAACCGCGGTCGACTACATGGGAGTTCAGCGACATAGCCATTACGCTAACTGCTGGTCCCAAGTCTGGCATGTTTTTCAAGCCAGGACTCAAATCTCATGGTTGGCCATGTGGAATCCAGCACCCCAAACACCACACCATTGGCTGGCCCAAAAGTAGTATTTCAGTAAAGGATGTGGAAATATGGAACACAACTGCCATTATATTTATAACACATTTTAAACTCTTTGGATCAGAATAGAAAAGAGCAGAAGTATATTTTTAAATCAATGTATATTTATGGTGAAAAACAGAGCATATCACATGCTGAAGTTAATCCATCTAAAGTTTAGAAACAAATGCACAGAAACAAGCGCGAGAAGGAGAGCAGACACTTGACTTCCCTTTTCTTTTATACCCTCTTCCTCCTCGACATTCTGTACTCATCCACGCAGCAGACACATTGCTGCACGCACGCTGCACCAGGCCCTGTTCTAGGCACCAGGGCTTACAGTAGTAGTGGTTGGAGAAGACCTCTGACAAGGTGACAGTGGCGCAGGTAACTGAATGAAGGTTGGAAGTCAACTAGGTAGGTATCCAGAGGAAGAGCTGCAAGTGTAGAAACTGGAAAGCACAAAAGTCCTAAGGCTGAACTGCACTGGGTCATCTGAAGAGTCACAACACATTTTTGCATCGAAAAATACATCATGACTTTTCCAACGACCCAGTACTTGGTGGGTTTCAGAAACTGTAAAAGACCAAAGTGTTTGGGATCATTTGGTGGCACAGCAGTAACACAATTCAGATCGACATGGGAAAGGCTGCGTGTTCGTGTTCCAGGACGCTCTTGGGCATGCCAGGTGCAGCATGCCCTCAATTCGGGCCGGCTAAGACTGGAAGTGATCACTGTGTGAGAGCCCTGTGGGAAGTGCCTCTCCCTCTTCTTTCTTTGTTTTTTTTCCTCTCTCACTCTCTTCTCCATCTCTCTGTCTCCCTCTCTCATAAGATAATTTTTTTTTTTTTAAAGATCAAGATAGCTAAAGTTCAATGAGTAAGAGGGAGTGTCAAGAGGTCATGTCAGAAAGGCAAGAGCAGCCAGTCCTTTTCCAACATAGAACCCCTTGTACCTCATGGCCACATTCTACAAGGCTCTATTCTCTTAGCTTCTCTGACAGATAGTTCTAAGAAAGATCAGCTCGAATTCCCGTTGCCTAACTTCTGAGGGGCAGTGTATCACAGTGGTTAAGTACATGGGCTCTCATGGCAAGCTTCCTGGGTTGGAATCGCTGCACGAGCACTTTTTAGCATTTAACCTCTCTGTGCCCGAGCTTCCCTTTTGTGCTATGAAAGGATAACAGATGTTGAGAGACTGAACGAGTTAATACATGCAAAATACTTAGAACATCTTGAGTCTAACATAAGGCAACAGCTCAGTTAAGGTTGTTTTCATGCTAAAAGCTTTCCCCTGCCCTAGTACCACACGTGCCTAGCATGAGTTTTAAGTTGCCAGGTCTGGGACTCCAACCATGGTGGACTACATGGGAGTCTGGTGATGTAAGCAGTATGCCATCTGCTGGTCCTGATACATTTCCTTTTAATGTAGCTATAGTCACATTATGTTTGTTTTAAATAGTCATACCTGGGTAAAATCGAAGAAAAGTTTCTTGTTGGAGGTTTTTTTTTTTTTTTTTTCTCCTTTTTGGGACATTCTTTCTTTTTTCCTAGTCCCTCTGCTGTTGTCTTCTATTATTTTGGAAAGGCCAGACTAATGATCTCAGAAAAGCAACCTGAAAAATTCATTCAAAAGAAGGTGTCATGACTTAGTTGTTTTATCCTCCTGAAAACTACCTGCATGTTAATCATTTGCTACTTTGCAACATGGGCCATGACTGGTATACTGTTCATGAGAATAAAGATTAATCCAAATGAATGCACAGTTGAACACACACATTAGAACTTCTAGATATGAAATTTAAGGTACCTTCTTGGTAACCCTGTGGATAATGTTGTGCATGGGTAGTTAGGAAGTAGCCTTCCTTCTTTGCAGAAGTTGATATGATTTTTATTTGGGAAGACTTGTTACCTTAGGTGGACTTGAACCCTTTGTTCCAAGTCTCAAATCCTGCTACATGGCAGCCACCCCCCAATCATCATGGTTGTTTTTATTGAAACTTGCTTCTTATGAATTTTATTCTAACCCCTGCCTTTCCAAAAGTTCATCACTTTTTCTAGTAGTACAGTGGTAAGTCAGTTGATTAAGACACAACTAAGAGAGAGCTTCTAAAGTGCCAATAATTAACACATTATTAATGACCTGAGAGACAAATTCCTACCTGCCCTCCTTCCCTCGACTCTTTCATATCAGTGATTTTTATGGTGGAAATTTTAGATCAGGTTAAAAAAAAAATCACAGGATGTGTTTAAGGGGAGTAGGATCTTACAACACTCCTTAAATCACAAGAAGGCTGATTTCCAACACACACATGCACACGCATACAGACTTACTCATACAGTTTCTCTGTCAAGTAGTCAAGAGGAAATAAACACTGGAGTGAAATAGGGTTTCTATTTTTAAATAACACAGGGACAACAAATGGCATAGAGGTTATGTCACTGGACTCCTACATGGCCAATCGCAGTTCAAGTCCCAGACATGGTGGCTTGAAAATCACACCAGGTACACATGTATGCATACCCAAGATATCGGGAGGAGAATGGAGGAGAAGAGATTACAGCATGGCCATTCTCCTTGGGAGGTGATTTCTCAATTTCCCTCTCACTGTCTCTGTCTTTCTCTGGCAAGCTCATGTACCTAAGGCAAAAATCTTTAAATAAATTAATTAATTAAATAATAAAAATAACTCTGCAGTAAATACTTTTCTAATAAAAAGAATTAGCCTCGGGACCAGCAGTTAGCATAATGGCTATGTCGCTGGACTTCCATGTAGTTGACCATGGTTCAAGTCCTGGACCTGGTGGCTTAAAACTCATGCCGGGCACGTGTGCGTACATGTCCAAGATCCTGAGAGGAGAATGGAGGAGAAGGGATTGCAGTGTGGCCATCCCCCCAGGAGGTGATTTCTCACTTTCTGTCTCTTTGTCTCTCTGTCTCTCTCTGTCTTCTGGCAAGAGCACACACCCTATAGCAAAAATCTCTCCAAAAAAAAAAAGAGAAAAGAAAAAAGATTAGCCTCTAACTATTTTGATTTTATGCATTTCATTTTCCTAAAGCAGATACCCATATGTTAAAGATACCCACATTTTCAAAAGATGCCCAAATACTATAATAGCTATATGTTGACCAATAGTTCTTGTCTGATAAAAATCTATGCACACTGTCTTCTGAGACTGTTCACAGGATGCGTGTGATTTTAATCATGATGCTAACTAGATTTTCACTGTCTGTTACAGAGTATACACTCGGCCTCCCTTCCTCGTGCTGACTGTCATGAATGCAGTGTGTATTCTTCTGCAAAAAAAACCTAACTGGGCAACAGCAAAGTTACTTCTTTCAGAAACTGGTTTCCTAAAAAAATTGATTAACCTCGACAAGGACAGCATACCTGATAAGGTAAAAAAAAAAAAAAATCCTTAAGTAATGCAAAATTGATATACTCCATATTTATCATATTTATCATCTATAGAGTCAAAGAGAGTATTAGAAACAAAATTCTATATTAGAATTGGAAGACAAGAGTAAGAGCTAAAAGATGAGAGAGCAAGCTGCATACCCACCTTTAACAGGTTTCCTGTGTCAAGAAAAAGCAATAGGTCACCAAAATCAAAAAATGTCATTTCTCAAAATCTCTTTAAGTATTGAAGAATAGAGAAGAGGACAATAGTGGAATAAAGTCTTTCTGAGTAGATTTATTTAAATCTTAAACAAATTTTTTTTATTTGTTTAACAAAGGTTCATGCAATAGCATGTGCCAGACACAGATTAAGGCACAGACAAAAATTAAAGTAAGATAGCCTGGGAACTCCAGTGAAGGGGTTTTCTTCATTTGTTTGTTTGTTTGTTTTTGGAGAAGTTTTTCGCTATAGGGCACGTGCACTCGCCAGACAGACAGAGAGAGACATAGAGACAGAAAGCAAGAAATCACCCCCCAGGGGGGATGGTCGCGCCGCAATCCCTTCTCCTCCATTCTCCTCTAGGGATCTTGGGCACGCACGCACACGCGCCCGGCGTGAGTTTTAAGCCACCGGGTCTGGGACGCAAACCGCGGTCGACTACGTGGGAGTCCAGCGACATAGCCATTACGCTAACTGCTGGTTCCCATTTGTTTGTATGTTTTAAGAATGATTTTATTTAACATTATTATTATTATTGTTATTTGTTTTAATTTGACCAGAGAAAGACAGAGAGAGAGAGATGAGAGAGAGAGAGACAAAGAAAGAGAAAGTGAGAAAGCAAGCTGCCAGGTCCAAGACCCGAACCGTGGTCAGTCATGTGGGAGTCCAGCATCTTTGACCACAATGCCACCCAATGAAGGGTTTTTCTGCAACATATTTAATTCACAAGAATGTAGATTTACTTTAGGACTTCAAGAAGAGAGAGAGTCGGGAACCAGCAGTTAGCGTAATGACTATGTCGCTGGACTCCCATGTAGTCGACTGCGGTTCGCGTCCTGGACCCGGTGGCTTAAAACTCATGCCAGGCATGTGTGCGTGCGTGCCCAAGATCCCAAGAGGAGAATGGAGGAGAAGGGATTGCGGCGTGGCCATCCCCCCTGGGGGCTGATTTCTCACTTTCTGTCTCTATGTTTCTCTCTGTCTGGCGAGCGCATGTGCCCTATAGCAAAAACCTCTCCAAAAAGAAAAAGAAGAGAGAGAGTAGTACCAAAGTCCTGGACAAACATCAGACTTCACGATCCCAGTAGAGAGAGGCAGACTGCCCTGGGCAGGTGAGCCGTGCAGGAAGCACTAAGGCATAGTACACAAGAGGTGGTGAAGGTCTGCAGGTAGGAGGCACTGTAGACAGATGTAGAAAGAAAAGCCAAATGCCAGGTATGGAGCCACAAGCCAAGTAATACCTAAACCCACAAGAAGCTGAAAAAGACAAGGAACCAGTTCTCTCGTAGAGCCTCAGGAGAAGAGTACTGTCCTGCCTACATGATTTCAGACTTCTAACCTTCAGAACTCTGAGAAAAAAAAGAATGCTGTTGTTTTTAAATTACTCAGTTTGTGGTCATTTGTTACAGCAGTCATAGGAAACTAATGCAGATTCAGGTACTGGGAACTTTCAAAATTTCAGAATACTGAATTTTAAAGATAATGCTCAAAATATTTCTTATAATTTTGTATAATTTTGTTTGTGACCCTATAATATAGAGACAGTATGGTTTTAAATATTTCTGAGAAAATATTTACATGTCAGATACTCAAATTGTTGAAGAGCAAATGCCCAGCACACTAGTCACACAGAAACCTTCTCAATTCAGCCCAGCCTACCAAGTATTCTGTGATATACCATCTGCTAGCAAAGATCAGTCTTTTTCTTCCTTCAAAGTCATTCTCAAGATAATCCTCTGGTGTGGTTGCTCTTTTGTGATCTCTACTGATTACAATGCTGGGCTGGAAAAGTCCAGGTTATTTTATGCTATAATTTTTTTCATATATCTTCTCTAATCCTCTCTGCCAGGCAGAACTATTGATGGTGCCAGGCCATCTTTCTAAGAGCTTCTGTTGGCTTACTTGAGATCCACCTTAGTTCCATAGTTTTCTGATTAATCTTCAGGTATGACATTCCAGTCAAAGCCCTGTCCACTAATGAGTATTTCCAATTTCTGATTCAATGCAACAAGCATTGTTGAACTTATGCAAATAACCCATATTCTGCCGCAAAATAAGAATACTCCCAAATATTTCCAATTCAAGAGGGGTCAGAAAGGAAGAAAAGTTTATGTTTCCATTAGAGGAAACAAACAAGAAACATATTTTAACAAATTGCTGAACCTATCAACAACTCAAAAGAAAGTAAAATGTTTAAATTTCTGTATGTGTCTTTAGTTTTTCTGATAGAGCACTCCTTTCAGAACTTCTTGAAGAGTGGATCTACTATTGGCAAATTCTTTCAGGTCTTGTTTATCTGAGAATGTTTTTTATCCTTTCTTTCCATATGAAAGCTAATCTTACCAGGTACAGGATTCTTGGTAGAAACTGTTTTTCACTTAACACTTTGAGTATATTTTCCAATTGTTTCTTTGCTCACATTGTTTCTGACGAGAAGTCTGAGGTTAACCTAATAGGATAACCTTTATAAGTAACCTGACATTTCTCTCTTGCCATTTTAGTATCTTGTCTTTGTCTGTTAGTTAAATTTGGCCAGTGTGGCTATGATGTGCCTTGGAGAAGATCTTCTTGGGTTGATTCTATTAGGGGTCCTTTGTATTTCTTGGGTCTGGATATTTGCATGTCTCTCTAGATTTGGAAAGTTTTCTTCTAAGATTTCATGGAATAGATTATCAGTGCCCTTATCAGTTTCCTCACCTCCTGGGATATCAGTTATCCGGATGTTTGGGCACTTAATGCTGTCTAGTATTTCTCATATAGTATTCCCATTTTGGGGGGTTATTTTCACAGTTTTTTGGCTTTTTGTTTTTGGGTTTTTTTTTGTTTTTTAAATCAGAGGTTTTGCCTCCAACATCCAAGATTCGATTTTCTGCATGGACTAATCTGCTTTTAATACTTTCAAGGGAGGTTTTAATTTCCTGAATAGCAGCCTTCATCTCTAACAGTTCCATTTGATTCTTTTTTTGTGGTGTGTATTTCCTCTTTCAGATCATGGGAGAACTTCAATACCTCATGGAACTCATTGTCTCTTTTCTCCTGCATCTTCTGGAGTTATTATCTCTCAACTCTTGCATCACGTTTGGTTTTGTCATTATAAAGAATTCTGAATTCTCAGGACCAGCAGTTAGTAAAATGGCTATGTCACTAGACTCCTATGTAGTTGACTGTGGTTTGAGTCCCAGACCCGGTGGCTTAAAGTCACGCTGGGCACGTGTGTGTGTATCCCCAACATCCCAAGAGGACCATGGGGGAGTATGGCCATACCCCCCTGGGGGGTGATTTCCTGCTTTCTGTCTCTCTGTCTCTGTCTTTCTGGCAAACGCACATGCCCTATAGCAAAAACCTCTCAAAAAAAAAAATTCTGAATTCTCTATCAGACATTTGCGTGAGTTCTACTGTATTGTCTGTGGATGATGAGGGATTGTTCTTTTCCCTTAGGTGAGAGATATTTTCTTGATTTCTCATGTTTCTTATACCTCTGTGGTTGTTTCTGGTCATTCGGTGACAAAATCTATCCTCCACTGTGCTTCACAATGCAGTATCCACAAAGATTAGGAGTTCAGATTTATAAAAAGAAATTTCTTCATTAAAGCAGGAGGTTCAATAAGCAGTGAAGATTTCGATGACTACTGTGCACTTAGGCCTATCTACACATTCAGTGTGTGGAGAGTGAAGCTTAGAGTGGGAAAGTAAAGTTTAAAAAAATAAGAAAAAAGAAAAAAATAGAAAACTACTGCCAATAAAGAGGAAAAAAAATTTTACATGTAAAAAAATGAAAACTATGTGGCGTGCTAGCACCAGGAACACGCCTGGGCACACCTCAGCTTTAAAATGGCTTCTGTAATTAGCAAGTGAAAGAAAAGGCCCAAGGTGAAGAGAAATTATTGAAAAATTTTAAAAGATAAATAAACATTTAAAGAAAGAGAGAGTGTGAGACAGACAGAGAGACAGACAGCCAGAGACTGAGAAAAGACAGAAGCCACCCTACCTTGTCTGAATATTTCGGGAGTCTAGGAGATGGAGTTTAGAGCATAGCTTCCCTGAACACGCCGGGACACATCTCAGCTTTAAAATGGCTTCTTGTCTGAAAATTTCGGGAGTCTAGGAGATGAAGTTTAGAGCATTGCTGTATTATTTTTTAATTTCTAATGTGTGCTCACCAGAGAGAAATGAGAGAAAGAGAGAGAGGGGGAGAGAAAAAGTGAGAAAGCAAGCCACCAGGTCCAGGACTCAGACCACAGTCAGCCATGTGGGAGTTCAGTGCCTTAACCACCACAACACCTGCTGGCCCCGAAGCTTACATTTTAATGAGGAATTTGCCCCACCAATATTTCACTTGAGGGACAAAAAGTAGAAGATAATATTCCTAAACACTCACATCAAAAGTGCACAAGGAGATATCAGACCTTCTATACAAAATTCCCCAAAGCTAAAGAAAACTAACCTGTTTTGTTTTTGTTTTAAAATGGAGTTCCTTTTTAAAAACTATAACAAAGCTATTGTAAGAACAGTAGCAATGGCCGGATGTTTGAAAAGAGGCTTTCCCTTCCTGGTCCAGGGCCACTTCTGTACCCAAGTTGTGTCTTTGATTCTACTGGCCAAGACTAGTTCAGAATTCTTATATGAAGTAACATCTCATTCTAACATAGACTGAGAAAAACTTCAGATCAATAACATTTTTTCTCATGTAAATGCATAAACTTCTCCCTAGGTTTTCCTGAAGCTGAAAAAAATTTTAACTTTGCCTGATTTCAACCCAAACAAGATTGCTCTGGTTTCTGTTGCTTGTTGCTCAATGTGCCAGTGGGTTATAGCTTTGAATAACTACCGAGAAGTACAGAAGGTATGGTTTCCCTCCTAAATAGCTGTAATCATTTGGAAGTGACACATCAAAGTTCCTGAAATAATCTTTATTTAATAACGCTCAAATGAATTTTTGTAGAAAGAATATATGATGAAAAATATTTTAATCCAATATATTATGTTACCTCACACAGATGTCAAGTGCTCTTATTAGATATTTTAACTTATGACAATATGTTCTGTTTTTGTTTATTTTAATGATTCACTATAATAAGTTACTTTATATCCCTCACGTGCACACAATTCCCTTTCAAACATTTTTAACAGTGAACCCGACTCCTTTACCACTGAAATATTCTGATATTCTCTTCAAGCTGGTGGGTCCTAAACAAATCCAAGTAGCTGAAGCTCAAGACGTCCTTAGAATTGCACGACAGAGGTTGGCTGAAAAACAAAGAGGTTTGCAGATGGTAAGAAATGTTTTTATTTGTTAAATTCTCAGTACCTTTATGAACTAGATAAAAAAAAAAATCAGGAAAAAGTCATGGAGCGTATCAATTAAAGATAAAACAGAGGGAACTAGCAGTTAGCGTAATGGCTATGTCGCTGGACTCCCACGTAGTCGACCGTGGTTCGCGTCCCGGACCCGGTGGCTTAGAACTCACACCAGGCACGTGTGCGTGCGTGCCCAAGATCCCGAGAGGAGAATGGAGGAGAAGGGACTGCGGTATGGCCATCCCCCCTGGGGGTGATTTCTCGCTTTCTGTCTCTATGTCTCTCTCTGTCTGTCTGGCGAGCGCGTGTGCCCTATAGTGAAAACCTCTTAATCTAAAAAATATATATATATATATATATAAAACAGAGGGCCAGCTCCATGGTGGTCCAGGATTAAAACACTGCTCAGGAGAAGCTGGATTCCATAGGCTTCAGGTCTGGTCAGCCTAAAACACAGGGAGCATGTGCACAAGATGGGCTGGGTGCCTGGAGGAAGGGGATTGTGGGGAGACTTGGCCCTGTGGAGGCTGGCTGTCTCTCTCTCTCTCTCTCTCTCATGCACATGCACATGGGATAATAACATAGGTAAATGAAGAGATTAATTGGTGAGGATGATGGAAATAATATGGGTACTGTATATAAAGCTCTTAGTGGGACCAGCAGATGGTATAATGGCTATGTCACTGGAATCCCATGTAGTCAACCGCAGTTCAAGTCCCTGACCTGGCGGCTTAAATTCACACCGGGCACATGTGCATGCATGCCCAAGATCCCGAGAGGAGAATGGAGAAGGGATTGTGGCATGGACATCCCCCCTGGGGGGTGATTTCTCACTCTCTCTCTCTTTCTGGTAAGAGCACATGCCCTATAGCAAAAACCTCTCCCCCCCAAAAAAGAGAGAAAGAGAGAGATGGAACCAGGCATAAGGTAAAGATATGAGACAACTCTCAGAAATAGGAAAATTTAAAGAATGTTTGAGAGATATGGAATAAACCAGTTTGACTGAAGAGTAATACAATTGAAAGGAAATAATGAAGGAGATTAAATTGGGAAGGAAGGTTAGGACCAGACAGTAGAGGATTTTATTGATGACCATAACTTTGGACTATATTCTTAGTCAATTATTTCCTTAAGAATTCATCAGACACTCTTGAGCATCAGTGTTATCAAGATAGGTGGTAATTTAAGAAAATTATTTTATCAGCTATTCATGAACATAGGCTTTCCACCCACATCCCAGGGGTAGTTTAACAGTCGCTTCATCCTACCAGTCTAACTTCAAAGCTCACTTGGTCCACTGGTCTCCTCAGTGTATGTGGAGCAACACACAATTCAACCATTTTCTAAGAGAAAGAACCTAGATATGATGTAAAAGCTTAAATTAGAAAATTATGACTCTCCAGATGTGAGGATTATAAGAAAACCTATTGAAGAAGGAAGATGATACTTTAAAATATAAGCTTCAATATCAATGAATCATTTAATTTCTACAATGTACATTTTTATTGATAATAAAATCCACCCCATAATTTCCAGGGTGTGAAAATGAAGTGGTTATGTGTTGCATTTATATAAATGACAGCGATAAACCCTTGGAATAAAATGAGAGTAAGACTTTTTTCCTCAATAATAAATAAATTGCCTTTCAGATTGAAGAACACTTGCTGTTCTTGCAGGCAGCCTACAAAGATGTTGTTGCTGAAAAACAGCAATTAGCAAATCGGAGAAAACTGGCCACCAAGCGCTTACAGTGTGCATCTATCTTACTAACTGTCCTGGAAGATGAGAAGGCATGTCCTTTGTTGGTTTATATCCTTTATTAATTTCCACTGGGCTTGGGGCCAGCAGGTGGCATGATAGTTAAGGCTCTGGACTTCCACATGGCTGACACAGTTTGACTCCTGGACCTGGCAGCTTGCTTTCTCTGTCTCTCTCTCCCTTTCTCTCTCTCTCGTTCTCTTTCTGGTGAGCACATGTGCCCTATAGCAAATTTTAAAAAATAATGATTTTTTAAAGTAAATAAATTATTCTTTTAAAAATTATTTCCACTGTGCTCAATAAAGTCTAAGATGTTATTTTCACTGCAGTCTATATTATATACCTCCTAAAACTATCTTACTATCTAATTTCTTATGGCAATAAATAGTCCTACTCGGATTTTAAAAAAAAATTAAAAAAAGGAATCCTATTCAAGAAGTCTTAAAATAGAAGGAACAGAGTACAAAGATTCAAGGTTATTTTCTCTTGTTCCTAAGACATTTTTTTTTCTGATGAGGCTCAAAGTAAACCTTTAAAATTAAATATTTTTACTTATTATTCATTATTGACTTTTATCCAGCACAACGTAAAGACAGTAATATTAATGACAATGATAGGTTCAATCAGAGATCATTAAAGTTTGGAAAGTCTCATAATGGTATATTTATATCCAATAACTCATTTTTATTTTAACATTTAGACTCGATGGCAAGAAACAATCAGTCAAACAGACGAAAAGCTGGAAGGAATTTTGGGGGACATACTTCTTTCAGCAGCATGCATTGTCTTCAGTGGAGTTTTGACACCAGAATTTCGCCAGTTGATTGTGAAAACATGGGAGAATATTTGCAATGAAAACAAGATTTCTTTGTCTTCCAGCTTTTCTTTAATTGAGGTCATGACACAAGAACATGAGGTACTAACAGATTTCTATTATCCAGTTCAGTGACCATTGTTGTTGCTTTGGATTGGGGGAGGGGTGTAATTTTGGGCTTGGATCTTTTCTCCAGATTATTTTGATAAATGAAAATGTTGAAGCTTGTTTTAGACCTTAATTTTTTTTTTCAGCTTAAAGCTCTAATGCCTAGTTATTTCACTCTTGTTTTTCATCCTCTCTGCAAAAATCACAAAATATTGTTTTTCCCCTTGGCAATCCTGCTACCCTGTCCTAGCGGATATATCCAGTTTCTCTCTGAAACCTTCCCCTTTAATAAAATTGGTGAACTTATTGAACCACAAATTAATTTTCTACTAATGTAGAAAAGACAGAAATCAAAGACAGTGCAATAAAACCAAGGGGGAAAAGAGAGATTAGAATTACAAAAGAAGAAAGGAACGAAAAATAAAAATTTTGTTCAGGTGATATATTATGTACTTAGGGAATCTATAGATATATTAGGAGAATTAATAAGAGTTTAGCAAAACTTTTGGAATTAAAATTCAAAATACAGGGAACCAGCAGTTAGAGTAATGGCTAAGTCGCTGGACTCCCACGTAGTCGACCGTGGTTCGCGTCCCGGACCTGGTGGCTTAAAACTCACGCTGGGTGCATGTGCGTGCATGCCCAAGATCCCAAGAGGAGAATGAAGGAGAAGGGAATGCGGCGTGACCATCCCCCCTGGGGAGTGATTTCTCCCTTTCTGTCTCTATGTCTCTCTCTGTCTGTCTGGCGAGCGCACACGCTCTATAGCAAAAACCTCTCCAAAAAAAAAAGAAATTCAAAATACAAAATCCAATTGCATTTCTCTATACCCAAAACAAACAGAATATAGAATATTTTTATATACCGTCTATCAGAGCATCAAAATGAATCTATCAAAAGATGTCCAAAAGCTACAGAAAGAAAACCATAAAAGACTGAGATAAATTTTAAGAAATTTAAATAAATGAAAAGTTACGTGGATAGGAAAAAGTATTCCAAAGTTGCCAGTTCTTTCCATATTGATCCGTATATCTGGTGTCATCCCAACAGGGGTGTGTGTGTGTGTATGTGTGTGTGTGTGTGGCCTGACATGCTGATTCTAAAAGTTATAAGAAAAGGTCAAGAGCCCAAGTGTCCAAGAAAATGCTGGTAAAGAGCTAGGTGGGGTGACTTGCTATATCAAGTATCAAGATTTACTTTAATACTACAATGATTAGGACAGCAGTAGTATTTGTCCATGTGAGTACCAATACAAAAATAAATAACTACATCAATGGAGCAAAACTGAGAGCCCAGAAACAAACTTACAAATACAACTTACAAGGACGTTTGATTTATGACAAAGGTGATACTCCAGTGCAATGAGTGGGTCATGGCTAGTCTTTGTAATAAATGATGGTAGATAATTAAATATTCACTTTAAAAAGTAAAGTTGGGGAACCAGCAATTAGCGTAATGGCTATGTCGCTGGACTCCCACGTAGTTGACCGCAGTTTGCGTCCTGGACCCGGTAGCTTTAAAACTCACACCGGGCGCATGTGCGTGCGTGCCCAAGATCCCGAGAGGAGAATGGAGGAGAAGGGATTGTGGCGTGACTATCCCCCCTGGGGGGGTGATTTCTTGCTTTCTGTCTCTATGTCTCTGTCTGGCTGGCGAACGCATGCGCCCTACAGCAAAACCCTCTCAAAAAAAAAAAAAAAGTAAAAGTTGAATTAAAAAAAAAAAACTTATTGCACTTGAATTGTGGACCTAAATGTAAAAGAAAAATTAATCTAGCATAATTTAGGAGAATACATGAATAACCCTAGGTTAAAAAAAATTATTTCTTAAACAAAACTAACCATAAAGGAAAAAATTTGATAAGTTGAATAACATTAAAATTTAGTCATCAAAGACACCATGGAAAGGGTATATCCGACAAGGGGCCCTATGAAGAATATAAAAAGAACCTACAACAAATCAATAAGCAAAATACATATAACCCAGTAGGTAAATGGGCAAGAACCTTGAATAGACAGCTCACAAGAGAATATTCAAACACTAGAAAACACATGTATGTTATTAACCTCATTGAGGGGTTTTTTAGGGGAATGCAAATTAAATCCAAAATGAGCTACTGCACACAGTGATCAAGTTAACTAGAATATCTTTTTTTAAAAACCGACAATATCAGGAATTATTCAAGGATTTTAAGTAACAGAAACTCAGAACTGCTAGTGAGAATACAAACTTCTGTAATCATTCTAGAAAATTGATAGTAACTACTGATACTGAAAGTATATAGACCAGGGGCCAGCAGATGGCATAATGATTACTTGCTGGACTCCCACAGAGTCCACCGCGATTCAAGTCCCAAACCTGGCAGCTTAAAACTCATGCCAGGCACATGTGCGCATGTGCCCGAGATCCCGAGAGGACAATGGAAAAGAAGGAATTGTGGTATGGCCATCCCTCCAGAGGGTGATTTCTCGCTTTCTGACTATCTCTCCAGGAAGCGCATGCACCCTACAGCAAAATCTCTCTCTTAAAAAAAAAAAAAATATATATATATATATGTGTGTGTGTGTGTGTGTGTACACACTGGTCCACCCAGTATGTGCCCTACAAGTACACTGTGCACTTGTAGGAAAAGTGAGAAACTAAGCCGCCAGATCTGGGACTCAAACCATGGTTGGCCACATGGGAGAGTCCAGCACCCTTAACCACCATGCTACCTGCCGGCTTTTATTTAACTTTATTTATTTATTTTAATTTTACCAGAGAGGGACAGAGTGAGAGCAAGAGAGAGGGAGAGAGAGAAAATGAGAAAGCAAGCCACCAGGTCCAGGATTCAAACTGCGGTTGGCCATGTGGGAGTCCAGCGCCCATAACCACCACACCATCTGCCGACCCCAGAAGTGTTCTTACTGATTGACAGAAAAGTGTAACTTTGTGAATACTCACCTTGCCAAAAATTTCACATCCAAGTTGCTTTAAGTTGTTCATTTCCTTGTCCTTTAAATGGTGATTTGATTTCCTAAAGACGACGATTCTGTAGGATCTTTTGATACCTTGTAGGATGCCAAAGATATGACAAAGTTTATGAAACAGTGAAAGTTCTAATGATCTTGTTCCAGATCCGCCGATGGCATAATCAGGGACTACCTCTCGGTCAGTATTCAACAGAGAATGCCATCTTGATCAAGAATGGGCAGCAGTGGCCACTGCTCATTGACCCACATAAGCAAGCCCACACCTGGATCCGTCAGATGGAAGGATCCAGACTGCAGGAACTCTCCGTTGTGGATAGCAATTACACCAAAAAAATTGAAAATGCTATGAAAACAGGAGAGAGTGTCTTGTTACAGGTATTTAGACAGTATGGCCTAATTCCCGATGTCCACATAGCTGGCACATACTATAACCATATGCACTCAGCATACAGACTGGAAGTTTTAAGTGACAGGTAACTTGGTCAAGGAAAAAGTAATAAATACATCCAGTCAGTTTTCAATGTTTAATTCTCTTAGAGCTGCCTTTCATTGGTGTCCACATAATTAATAAGATTTAAATTTTTAAAACGATCGCATCTTTCCCCCTGATCATTTGTTCTAAGATAGCTTTTCTTATTGATGCATCTTTCCGACTTATCATTTGTTCTAAGATAGCTTTTCTTATTGATGGCTATTGGGTTTTGCAGAATCTCCCTGAAACATTAGCTCCAGGTTTAAAGGCAATCTTGAAGAAGGATATCTATCAGAAAAGAGGACAACATTTCATACGAGTTGACAATTCTGAGATTGAATACAATCCCAAATTTAGGTAATGTCTCTCACCATTAAATTGAGTCAACTGTCTCTATTTTAAAAAAAAAAAAAAAAAGAAACATAATATTGAAGCTCTTCCATTTCAGTCCTGATTAACTTCTGCAGGGTGGAAAAAGTGAGGCTACGCTTTGAATATTCTTTTTTTCTCTGTGTCGGTAGTAGCTCTCATCGGAATACAGGGTAGAGAACAGATTCTTACTGAGCGAGTCACCCCAAACCAATGCTTTTCAGATTGTGCCTGATGAAATCTGTGGCTTCCATGGAGATCCTTCAGAAGCTATGCAGGGAGGGCAACAAGCAGGGAGACCTGGCCTCACCTGATCCAGAGCACTCTATTTGATCTGTTTGCCCAAGATTTTATTTGGACAAAAAAAGCTTCTGCTGCTTAAAAAAAATATATCCATATTTAATATCTTGAGCAAAAAGAGATTTTGTCTAAGGAAATCAGACTTTTTATTTTATTTGTGTTTCCAGGAACCCGACTCCTGCCAGCCAATTTCATAAAGCACTGTTTTAGGAGGGATTCTTGAAAAGTTCGTGGGAAGTGCACATGATGGAAAACAAAAACAAAAACAAAACTATGCATACATTTTTTTAAAATTTTGCACCAAAATAAACTCATATTTTAATTCCATTTTCCCATATGCTTTCATAAGTTCCCTCATATAGTCAAATTTGATTATCACAAAAATATGATTCCCAAGGAGATAGGACATGTGAGTAGTTGTTCACAAGCATTCTCTCCTGTAAGCAAAGCCACAGGAAAGTCGATTCATAATCAGAAGATGGGGGGGTAAGCAAGTAAAAATAGAAGATTTTAAAGGCCCCTAACCTGGTGCATTTACCTTCTTCAAAGGGAGTCTGACAAGTGGTCCTAAGTCTCGAATCTGTTGGGCAGTATGTCCCCTTCCCCGGACAGGGCTGCAATGTCTCTCACCAAATTGTTTCTCCTTAGAATTACCTCTTTCAGTCTCCTTTCTGTTAACAAAACATTTTTCATAGTATGTTCCTCAAAACAACATTTCTGGGAATCTAATAGGTATCACTCAAGAAAAAGATACTGTTTAAACAAAGTTAAACAGTATCCTATACTTCCTATAGGATTTTAAAACCCTTTTATTCACTGAATCCTCTCCAGAAAATAGGGTTGTGTCTACTACACTTGGGAAAACAGTGTTAACCCCTACTTTCTTCTCAATAAATATAATATGATGGATTAAGCAACAGCTCTAGAAATGCTAGTGATGTGACATTTTCCTGAAGCGACAACTTGTTTTCCATATTAGAAACACGTGTGTTTGAGAAGGAGGTAAAAGGCGCTGATTTAGAGGGCAGACTGACAACCCAGTCCGTGCACCACCACTTGCCCATGTGACATGGACAACTTATTTAACCTTTCTAAACCTCAGTTTCACCCTTTACGAAATGGAATGAAGAACTGTCCCTGCTGCGCTTGGTTGCTATCGAAATTACACAAAATTCAGAATCTGATCACTCTTCACCACTCCACTGGTACTACCCTGCTTTGAGATACCAGGATATAGCTCATGTCTTAACCAGTCTTCCAGCTTCCATCTCACTCCCCTCTCTCCTCACCCAGGCTGTTCTCAAGACAGCAGCTACAGAGGCCCTCTCTTTGAATCCTTCCATTGGCTTCCCACATGCTGGGGTAAAAGCCATAGTTTCACAATGGCAGGTCAAAACTCCTACTATTTAGCATTTTAGTTACTCTGTCTTTATGCTTAAATCAAATATAGTATGGATATGAATTATGGTTGGTTTTTTTTTAGATTCTTTTTTTTTTTTTGAGAGGTCTTTGCTATAGGGTGTGTGCGCTCGCCAGACAGACAGAGAGAGACATAGAGACAGAAAGAAAGAAATCATCCCCCAGGGGGATAGCCATGCCGCAATCCCTTCTCCTCTCGGCATCTTGGGCACGCATGCACACGCGCCCGGCGTCAGTTTTAAGCCACTGGGTCCGGGACGCAAACTCCGGTCGACTACATGGGAGTCCAGTGACAGAGCCATTACGCTAACTATCGGTCCCTAATTTATGGTTGTATTTTTTAAAGTCCAAAGTAGCAGAGGTAATCACGTAGTAAACATTTGAGGCCTGCTTTTTGTGTACAAGGTTGAATATTACTAAAAATTAATCTTGTTTACTTCCAGGAAAAAAACAATTTTTTGCATTGGTTTTATTGTTTCCTTCTGTATATTATTTGAATAACTGGTACCTTTCTTATGTTTAGGCTGTACTTGTCTACAGAAATGGACAACCCCCATTTTCTTCCATCAGTTTATAACTTTGTCACTATGATCAACTTCACGATAACATTCCAAGGGTTGCAAGATCAACTCTTATCTACTGTAGTAACTCATGAAGTTCCTCATTTAGAAAATCAACGTTCCCAGTTACTTGAGAGCATCTCCCTTGATGCTGTAACTCTTGAAGAACTGGAGGAAAAAACATTAAATTTACTACAGAAAACACAAGGTAAGTCAAGATACTTGCTAATATTACAAGACCTTTATGAAGGATAGAATATTTCTCTTTGCTTCTCTCCTCTATCTCCCTCTCTATATGAAAGAAAAAATCATCTTTTTTAAATCAGATCTTCATTTTCATCAGATAGCTGACTAATGTAAATGAACCACCTTGTTTCTAAACCAACATTTACTTAAAAACAATCATTCTAGAGCATATGTGCATGAGTATAAGAGAAAAAGAAAGTAAAAGGCACCCCAATAGGGTCTCAGCACACCACAATCCCTTCCCCCAGCCCTCCAGCTCATTAGGATCTTGGGTACACATATGCACACCCAGCATGTTTCAGGTCAAACAGGCCAGGAATCTGAACCCATGGGCAGACATGTGGCTTCCAGCACTTCAGTTCAGGTCTCCACCAACTGTGCCACCAGGCTGAGCCAACGTTATAAATTTTTTTTTTTTGGGGGGGAGAGGTTTTTGCCATAAGGTGCGTGCGCTCGCCAGAAAGACAGAGAGAAAGAGAGAGACAGAAAGTGAGAAATCACCCCCCAGAAGGGATGGCCACACCGCAATCCCTTCTCCTCTATTCTCCTCTCGGCATCTTGGGCATGCACACACATGCACCCAGCGTGACTTTAAGTCACAGAGTCCGGGACTCGAACCGCGGTCAACTACATGGGAGTTCAGCGACATAGCCATTACGCTAACTGCTGGTCCCCCAACATTATAAATTTTGATGTACTTCATTTTCTACCTTCGCTTTAGCTCATTATGTCACAGGACATTTGCCCCAATATGATCAATACTAGTTATAAGACGAATCATACCAAGGCTGATTAATTCCCTCTAAACTCTATGCTTATACTTCAGGTACCTGACAACTATTACATGTCTAATATTAGCTTATAGAGATAGAAAAATTAGGTTTTCCTTAAGTATGATCTCTTATTAAAGGGACCAGCAGTTAGCGTAATGGCTATGTCGCTGGACTCCCACGTAGTTGACCGCGGTTCGAGTCCCGGACCTGGTGGCTTAAACTCACGCCGGGCGCGTGTGCGTGTGTGCCCAAGATCCCAAGAGGAGAATGGAGGAGAAAGGACTGCAGCGTGGCCATCCCCCCTGGGGGTGATTTCTCGCTTTCTATCTCTCTGTCTCTCTCTGTCTGGTGAGCGCACGCGCCCTATAGCAAAAACCTCTCAAAAAAAAAATCTCTTATTATAAAAGAAAACAATCTAGCAACTTTTATGTATCCCATTAAAATATACTGTTCATTAAATATGAAGTAGAAATTATTTCCCTCTTCAACATGAGAAATACTTAAGACATAGTCTCTATGGCAACTAAACTCAAAGAAATATAAATTTCTAGCTCACAGAATATATGCCCCTAACTCAATGTGTGCTATTAATCAAATTTATTGAAAATACAATGTCTTCCAAGTACCTATATCCAACGCAAAACCAACAAAAAGCCAACTGTAAAACCTGTCACAGCAAGAATACATAATGAAAAATAGTTTTTCAATATTACAACAGTTTTCATTTAAACTCACTTTTTTGTTTGTCTATAGGATGCGTATTAGATGATGAGGAACTTGTAGATAACTTAAGAAAATCCAAAATGACTTCCAATGAAATTTCAAGGCGTATCAAAGCAACGGAAAAAGCAGAACGTAAAATCCAAGCAACACGTAAAAATTATCTCCCCATCGCTACTCGAGGCGCCCTGCTTTACTTTCTAGTGGCTGGTCTTACACAGATCAACTACATGTACCAGTTCTCCCTAGACTGGTTTCGTCGGGTTTTTGTTTTATCAATAGTTTCCAAAAGCAAAGAACAAGGACATAGTTTGAAAATGGAGAAAACGATACATCCAAAAGTTTCTAAGATTACAAATATCTCAAAACCTAACTTGGAACGTGAAAATAATCTCTTAGACAGGCATATTAAAAATATGATAGATGCATTGACAAGAAACATTTTTAAGGTGAGATACTCTTTAACGTGAATTTTGCATACTTATTTCATCTAACTGCATTAGCCTGACAGTTCTATTTTCCATACAGGTGGTTTCTTCAGCTCTATTTAATCGACATAAACTTTGCTTCTCCTTTCGGCTTTGCACTGCAATCATGCAAAACAATGCTAATGAACATTTAATGCAAGATGACATTGGATTCCTACCAGAAGAAGAATGGAACATCTTTTTATATTCTGGCATATTAATAAATATTAAAACTTTACTACTCCACCCTAGGCTTAACAGTAAGTAAAAATAATTATAAAAAATATATATTAAAAACGTGATCCCTTCTTAAATACTAAAAAAAGCTGTAACATATTCCATGTCAGTGCTTCTATAAGTGAATAAAGTAAAAGCAACATGAGGTCAAGTATGATGTCTAACTTATCATTGTATTCTTTACACTGTTGCACACATAATCAATACTCGGTGATTTTTGAATGAAGAAATAAATGATATCACTATGGTTATTATAATTCTGGTAGTCAGCAAGGACACCACACACACACACACGTTGATTAACCAACCATCAGGAGTTAAATCTTACTCCTCCAAACTACAGTCCACCCACATTTTCTTATAAAAATTCCCTGAAAAATGGAACTACAAAATTCATGCTTATCCAAAAAGTTTAGGCAAAATCACTTGACTATGGTTTGAAAATTATTTAGTTCTTATGTTGTGTCAAATGCACATAACATAGAATTCACCACTTAATCATTTCTAAGTATACATGGAAGTTCCATTAAATACGTTCACACTATGCTGCCCTGTACCCTTTTTTTTTTTTTTTTTTTTTTTGCTTAGTTAGTGGTGTTTCATTTTGTGTTCTACTCTTTATGTCACAAAAACATAAAATGTTTTAAAAATCTGACATGACACTAAGAGGAAAAAACGGGTGGATTGGTTTAGTTTAGGTTTTGTTCATTGTTTAGAAGCTATTAGCAAAGACTAGAAGTCAGAATGAAAACATAAAAAAATTGCTATAAAGTGTAATAGAAATATGAATAGTTCTGTTTAGATTTGGTTTTGCTTGATTTTACTTTTACCAAAGTATGATATCTAATAGATAGTTGGTAAATGAGGGTTAAATCAATGAATAATCTTTTAGATTTCTGGGGAATTCTTTTGCTTTAAAAATAGGAAAACAATAACAATAGCTTACCATAAAAAAAAAAGGAAAGAAAAAATCCAAAAAATTGGATTCTGTGATAGTTCCAAAAATCCCAAGGACAATGTAAATACCACGCACCCATATGAGAAGAATCAGTGATTACTAATAACATAACTTAGCTTCTAACAGTTCTTAGCCTCTGTGACTCAAAGTTCTATTCCCGGGAGGATGAATCTGAATGTCACAATCTTAATCAGGAGTCTACTCCTGAACCAATCACCTGTGACCAAAAGACAGGGTTATACAGCAAAAGCAAGCAATCAAAACTTCATATTGGGCAGCCAACCCAAAAGGTATCTACTGCACTTGGCATTAGTAAAGCATTTCCAGTGCAGGGGCCAGCCAGTGGCATGGTAGTTAAGACAACTAAATCCTGCATGGTCTATTGCCCAGTTCCATTTCCAGACCCGACTGCTTGGAAAACACACCAGTTGCATGTGTGAGTGTGCCCCAAATCCTGAAAGGAGAATAGAAGACAAGGCATTACAATATGGCCATGCTCCCCAGAGGACACTTTCTCACTTTTCTTTTCTCTCTCTCTGGCAAGCATATGTGCCCTATAGCAAATTTTTTAAATATTTTTATTTCCGGTGTACTTTAAGAAACAAGTCATTTGAATATCTTTCATTGTTACTTTAATTATAAAAGCAATATGCATTTATTATTAAAAAAAACATTATAACTTACAGACAAGACAAAAGAGAATTAATCTGTAATTCCACCATACAGAGATGATAACACTATTAATATCTTTGTGTGTTTCTGACTACTTTTTTCCTAACATATGTATTTGTATCTGTATATGTATCCTTTAAAGAAAAGAAAAAGTGATTTTATGGAGCTGTTAGGTGGCATGGTAGTTAAGGGCGCTACCATAGTTCGAGACCCAGACCTGGTAGCTTGCTTTCTCATTTTCTCTCTCTTTCTTTCTCTCTCTTTCTCCCTCTCTGGTCAAATTAAAATAAATACATAAAGTTAAATAAAGGTTTTTATTAAAAAAAGAAAAGGTGATTTTATAGACATATGTCTTTTTAAAAATTAATACTATACCATAAATGATTTTCTTTGTAAATAAATATAATTAGACTATATAATGTTCATATAACATTCCAGGTTTGAGATGAGCCAAAATTTATTTAACCATTGTCTTAAGCTAAATACTTTCGTTACTTCTAGTTTTTTTTTCATTTACTATATGGTAAACACTATGATGAACAACAAAAAGTCTTAGCACTTTCCAGGTTCTAGTCCTAAATATAAGAATCAAACTTTGATAGAACTGAAGGGAGAAAAAGACCACAACATAATAATAGGAGACTTCAATACCCCGCTTTCAATGATGTATAGAACAACCAAACAGAAGATAAATAAGGAAATAGAGGACTTGAAAAACACTATAGACCAACTGGACCAAACAGACATACACAGAATAACCTGCCCAATAACAGTTGAATATACATTTTTCTAAAATGTTCAGGATAGGCCACATTAGGCAATAAAACAAGTCTTTTTTGTTTGTTTCTCACTAAAGAGTATATGCACTTGCCAAAGAAAGAGACAGACTACAAAGCACACCTATATAGGCAGTAGTCACACTGAATCCCTTCTCTGCCATTTCTCCCTCCATTGGGGATTCTGGGTGCGCGTGTGTGAACACACGCACACATACACATACACACACATACCCTGCATGTTTCTCAAGCCACTGTATCTAGGACTCAAACAGCCCAGCTGCCCAGATGGTGACACAGTGGTAACATAATGCTATGTGAGGCTGACTCACATGGGAAGAACCAGGGCTTGTATTGGAGACCTTCCTGAATATGCCAGATGCACGCATGCCCATTATCTGGGAATGGCTGAGGCCAAGAGTAAATCCTGTGCAGACCTTGTTGGGGGTGCCTGTCTCTGTCTCTCTCACTCGTGGAAGAAATAAGTCAATTAGCTTAAATTAACAAATGTTGATGGGAATGTGGGGAAATTGGAACCCTTAGGCACTTTCAGTGTTATTGTAAAATGGTATAACCACAATGAAAAATAATGTGGAGTTTCCTCAAAACATTGAAAATTGAACTACTGGATGATCCAGTAGTCCCACTATGAGTTTATATTCAAAAGAGTTGAAAACGGAATCTAGAAGAGATATTTACACACTCATGGTCATAGAAGCGCACCATTTGCAGTAGCCAAGAGATGGAAGCAAGTCAGATGTCCACCAATGGATGAATAGATAACAATATGTAGCATAAACATCCAATGGAATGTCAAAAGGGAACAAAATCCTTCCGCATGCTACAACCTGGAGGACATCATGCTGAGTGAAATAAACCAGGCACAGAAAAGACAAATATTGCATGACTCCACTTGCATGAGATAACTACAGAGGTCAAATTTATAGAAAAAAACTAGAAAGGTAGTTACCAGGATCTGAGAAGAGGAGACACTGGGGAGTTGCTGTGTGACATGAGTATACAATTCAGATTTGCATAAAAAGTTCTGGAGATCTGTTTTACAACAGTGTGAATACACTTAAAGTCAGTAAACTGTACACTTAAAAATGATTAAGTTGATAAATTTTACGTTGTATTTTTTACCACAATAAAAATAAAATTATGTTTCACTTAATCAATTTGTATATAAAATGGCTTTGTCCCTAACAATTAATATTTATCACTCACTCACTTTGTAATAAGTAACTAAAGGGCTAGCAGGTTGTATGGTGTTTAAGGCACTAGATCTTACATGACCAGCTGCACAGTTCAAGTCCCAGACTCGAAAAACATGCTGGACACATGTGCATGCATTCCCAAAATCTCGAGAAGAGAGTGGAAGAGAAGGGGTTGTGGAGTGATCATTCCCCCTGAAGATGACACTCAACTACTCTCTCTTTCTTCCTGGCAAGCACGCATGCTCTATGGCAAAAAGAAAAAAAAAAAAAAACTGAAAAAGAAAACTGGAAAAAAAAAAAGTAACTAAAAAGATAAATATTTTTCTCTTCTAATGTAATCATTTTCCTTTTCTATTAGGCATATTTGAAATACGTAAAAATCAACACCTTCACTGGCTGTCAAGTTCCAAGTGGAAGCAGTGCCAATATGTCAGTAGTCAACTGGAACCGTTCTCACTTCTTTGTAAATCCCTTTTATCAAACATCTCACAATGGGATACTTTTAAGAACAGTAAGGACATCTATTCTCTAATCAGCACACCTTTCTGTTCAGAAAATGCTTCATTGGAAGAAAGAAGAAAATCACCAGAGGAAAGTAAGAAAGCACTCAATGTTTTCATCTAACTTAAGTGTGTGTAGGTTTCTGATTTATACATGTAGTTCAGTATCTTATGAAAAAAAAAGTGAAGGGCTGAATATAACTGTGTTCTAAGGATGCACGTGGATTATCAATGTAATCTTCATAACAATCTTGTGAAATGATTATTATGAACTTCATGGTTGTTGGTGAGGAAGTCTGATGAGAAATCAGAATTTCAAAGTCCAGACTATAGTACAGCAGTAACTTTAGTGGACACACAGAGGAAGGACCTGGGTTCATGTCTCTTCCATTGGTTGCCTCCTACAAGCCGGCACCTATGTGTGTGCCTATGGTCTAGGACATCTGAGGCTGGAGGTGGATCATAGTATGAAGATTCCTTTGGAGATGCCTCTATCTCTGTCTCTTTCTCGCTCTCTCTCAGAAGAATTAAATAGAAATCCGAATTTTACAGCGATTAGATACACTACACTAGTTTCATTACACCACCCTAGTTTTGAACCTTGAATCTGAGGGGACTTCAAAACATTTGTAGAAAAATGAGACTAAAGTACAAGTTTATTTGTGGTGCAAAAAGCTTGAAATCCATGCACATTTTAAAATAATTTACATAATATGTATTTTCAATAAACATCATTCATGCCTCAATTTATATAACAGATGTATGCTTTAGCAATTATATACAAAATAAATTTGACAGTTGTTCTAATCCTAATGTTTTGAGGAACCTTTATAATGTTTTCTGTAAAGGCTGTACTAACTTAGATTTCCACCAACAGTGTGAAAAAGTTCTCCTTTTCTGCGTGCTTGCCGGAATTGGTTGTTTTTTTCATTAGTCATTCAATTGGGATAAAATCTCTCATTGTGTTTTTTATTTGTATTCCCTTTGTGATTAGTGATGTTGAACATTTTCTCATATTTTTTGGCCATTTGTATGCCTCCTTTTCAGAACTGTTTATTCAGGTCTTCTATCCATTTTTAAATTAGTTTATTTGGAGGTTTTTTGCTTGAGTTGAGTTCTTTGTGTATTTTAGTTATTAAGTCCATGTCACTTGTAAAATTGACAAATATAGTCCCCCATTTTGTGGATTGTTTCTTCACTCTGCTGATTGTTTCCTTCAGTGTGCACAAGCTTTTTAGTTTGATATAATCCTATTTGTCTATTTTTCTTTTGTCACCTGTGATTTTGTGGTTTTATTAAAGAAACTCTTTGTCAGGGCCAGTGAATGGCATAATGGCTATATCACTGGACTCCTACAGAGCCAACCATGCTTCAAGTCCCAGACCTGGTGACTTAAAACTTATGCCGGTGTATGTGCGTGCATGCCCAAGATCCCAAGAGGAGAATGGAGGAGAAGGGATTGCAGCATGGTCATCCTCTCTAGGGGGTGATTTCTCACTTTCTGTCTCCTTGAGTGCCTATAGCAAAAATTTCTCTTGAAAAGAAAAAAGAAAGGAGAAAAGAGAAGAGAAGAGAAGAGAGGAGAAGAGAAGAGAAGAAGCTCTCTACCTAGTCCAATGTGTTTCCTCCAAGTTTTCTTCTAGTAGTTTTACAGTTTCAGGCTTTTTTTGTTTCTGCCTCAATCCACTTTGAGTTGATTCATTATGTGCTGAGAGATTCAAGTCTAGTTTCATCCTTCTACATATGAATGTTCAGTTTTCTCAGTATCACTTATCGGAAAGCTATCTTTCCCCAGTGGATGTTCCTGGAAACTTGAAAATCAGGTGGCTGCATATAGTTAAGTTTTTTCCTGAGTGCTCTATTCTGTTGCATTGTCTATGTATCTGGTTTTGGTTGTTTTCGGTTACTTTAGCTTTACAGTGTATTTTGAAATCTGGTAGTATGTTTCTAGCTTCATTCTTTTTGCTCAGGATTGCTTTGGCTATCCAGGGATTTTTGCAATTCCATACAAATTTCGTGATTTTTTTTCTATTTCTGTGAAGAATGCCATTGGTATTTTAACAGGTATTGCATTGATTCTGTAGATTGTTTTCAGTAGTATGGACATTTTAACAATATTGAGTCTTCTGATCCGTGGGCATGATTTCCAAGTCACCAGGTCCAGAAATCTAACTGTGCAGTCAGCCATTGGGATCTAGAGCCTTAATCTCCATGCCACCTGCCAACCCCATCATTCTTTTTTTTTTAAATGTAAGTATTCATTGCTATACATTTCTCTCTCTTAGTATCACTTTTGTTGTATCCCATAAGCTTTGGTAGATTGTGTTCTTACTTAACCAGCTTACAGAAATGCTTTCAATTTCATCTTTGTTTCTTATTTCTTATTTAATCCAGCAATCATTCAGAAACATGTCATTTAGTTCCCATGTATTCATATGTTTCCAATGTTTCTGTTGTTATTTTTAGTTTTATTTTATTGTAGTTACAAAAAAATCCTCAGTGTTTCTATTTTTCTAAATTTTTTAGATTTGTTTATAGCCTAACATAAGGTCTCTCTAGAAAAAATGATTTGTGTTCTGATACGAATAATGTGTAATCTGAAATTGTTAGGTGGAATGTTTTATAAAATGTGTGTTAGGTCCATATGGTCTGTGGTGCAGTTTAAATTCAATGTTCCTTTGTTGATTTTCTGTCTAGATTATCTGTCCAGTGCTGAGAATTGGGTGTTAAAGTCTCCAACTGTTACTGTATTGGAGTTTATCTCTCCCTCTAACTCTAGTAAAGTATTTAATATACTTAGGTGCTCCTTTGTAGGGTGCATATATATTCATGATTGTTATTGTCTCTAGCTGAATTGATTGATCTCCTTATCATTAAATAATTATCTTCTTTGTCTCTTTTTATAGTTTATAATTGAATTCTATTTTGTCTGGTATCTGTATAGGTTCCTCTGTTTCCTTTTGGCTTCCATTTGCATGGATTTTTTTCTTTTCTTTTTTTTTTTTTTTTTTTTTTTTTTTTTTTTTTTTTTTTTGCACTCCTTCGCTGTAGTCTATGAGTGTTATTACAGATGAAGTAAGTTTCAAATAGGCAGTATATAGGCAGGTTTTGTTTTTTATCCAAGAACCATTTATCTTTTACACAGGGAATTTAGTCCATTTACATTTAAGTTTATTATAGATAACATTTACTCTTTAGGTGTTTTCTGGTTTTATGTATTCTTTTTCTCTTTTTTCTCTTTTTTCATGGTTTGATTTTTTTTTAAATAGTGATAAGGATTGATTCTTTTCTGTTTCTCATTTGTGTATCTAGTCTAATTGTGTTTTGTATTTTCAAGTGTTTTTATGATAGTAGTTATGACCTTTTTGCTTTAAAATGTAGGGCTCCCATAAAAATTTCTTATAAGGCTGGTCCAGTGATGGTGAATCTCCTCTGTATTTGCTTGGCTGGGAAAGACTTTATTTCTCCTTCTATTGTAAAAAATAGATTTAACAGATTAGGTATTTTTGATTGGCATTTTTTTTTCTTTTAGGATTTTGAAAATGCTATCATATTTTCTCTGGTCTTACATATATTCCACTGAGGAATCCACTGTTAATCTGATAGGAATTCCATTATATGTAACTTGTCACTTTTGTATTTCTAAAATACTCTCTTTGAGTTTTGACATTTTAATTAGTAGGCATTAGCTCACAGTTAACATCATATTTAATAGGAAAAAGTTGAAAGTTTTTCCTCTTAAAACTGGAACAAGACAAGAATGTCCACTTTCTCCACTCCTATTCAGCATAGTACTGGAAGTCTAACACAATCGGACAAGAAAGTGAAATAAAAGACATCCAAATTGGGAAAATAAGAAGTTAAAGTATCCCTATTTGGAGACAACATGATTACATATATAGAAAAACCTAAAGAATCCATAAAAAAATTACTTATAGGTGATAAATTCAGCAAAGTCACAGGATACAATTCAACATACAAACTCTGTAGCACTTTTGTACTCTAACAATGAGTAAACTAAGGCAGAAAGGAAATCAATTCCATATGTGTGTGTGTGTATATATACATATATATATAAAATGAAAGATCACCATGAAAGTCATTTTTAAAAACTAAATTAAAAATTGAAAAAGATACCAAAAAATGGAAAGGCATTTCTTTCTTTCTTTCTTTTTTTAGTTTTGCCAAAGGGTGTGTGCATGCCTAAACGGTTCTTGCAGCAGAGAGGGGCCCACACACTCAAGCTTCAGGTGTACCAGGCTTTGGTATCTATCAGTAGAAGGGGTCTGCAAAGCCTGGAGGGCACATGCAGCTAGGAAAAGTCCACGTGCTTAGGCTGTGGTATGTACCAAGCTCTGTGCAGTTCAGGGACCACAGTCATCAGAGTCCAGAGGGCTCCCACAGTGGGGAGGGGCCATGCACTCTAGCTACATTATGAACCTGGCTTAGTTGAGGAAATACCATGTCCATACACCTGTTTCTTGGAGCAGTTCTCCCACCGCACTGGTCTATGTCCAAGAGTATATGATGCTGCACTGGTTTGGGTGCTGGGTCATGGCCCTACTGCTCAGTATAGCTAGAGTGACAACAATAGCCATTCATGTGGGCATGATGGGATTTTGACGGGTTCTCAGGGACGTTAAGATATGTAGGCTGTCAGTTTTAGTGTGGGTTCTACTTGGCAGTGGATTTGTTCCCTATTTTCTCCTTTTATAGTTTCTTGATTTCTATTAGGTCATCAGGAAAGTCATTTTTCTAGGCAAAAATGTGTCATGACTTTCCCAATAACCCAATAGTTCTAATTAAGAAGTTCTCCACTGGAGTCTACTCTCTGGGTCATTATTGTTTTATTTTGTTGTAGTCATCACTAGTCTATCTGGTATCCTTCATTTATTATACTGTAAGATAAAAGTCAATAACTTTTATCTCAAGGGACTGTTTCTTTCAATATTCTAGAGGGCACAGATGCTCACTGGAGAGAGACAGAGAGAGAAAGAGAAAGTGAGAAAGCACCTTCAATGGGGGATGATCATGCCACAATCCTTTCTCCACTTCTCATTTTGGGATTTGGGGCATGCATGCACACATACCTAATGTGCTTTTTTCAAGCCACCGGGTCTGGAACTCAAACTGTATAGCTGGCCGGTGGAATCCAGCTACCTTCAACACATCATTGGTTGGCCCTTAAAGGAACTCTTTGTTGACCCTTTTTATTATGTGAAGATCCTTTTATTTTGTTAATAACCCCATTCATTAGTAACTAGATTTTCATGTATTATGGGCTCTTTTTTTAAAAAAAAGATAACACATTGAAACCAGCAGATGGCATAATGGTTACTTTGCTGGACTCCCATGTAGTCAATCATGGTTAGAGTCCCGGACCTGGAGGCTTGAAACTCATGCCAGGTGAATGCGTGTGTGGAGGAAAAGGGATTGCGGTGTGACCATCCCCCCTGGGGGGTGTGATTTCTCACTTTCTGTCTCTCTGTCTCTCTGGTGAGTGCACATGCCCTGTAGCAAAAATCTCTCTTTAAAATAATAAAAGAGCTAACAACACACCAACACTAGTCAAATTCAAAAAAGCTATTTTTATCATCTAAGTTATATTTAAAATTAGGCATTGGAGAAATATTACAAGAAAAACAGGTGGAAATGTAACTATATTTGATATACTTGGAAATGAAGACTTGAAATTTCCTACCTTGCAAGAGAGTGTGATGAAGTAGGACTCTATTGGGGTGGTAAGAGTCAGTATTTAAAAAAAAAAGTATAATATTGAATTTTTCAAAAAATTTACAATAATCTTGCATGTTTGACAATTATTTCCTATATCTGTCATATGTGGATTATGAATAGAAATCTCTAACCTCTAGAGTTACTAATTTATATTCATCAGAAACCTCTCACATATACCAGGAGCAGTTGATAAAGTGTTGACAGGGCCAAGCAATAGAATAGTAGTAATGCAGTGAGACTCACTTGGGAAAGGTTCTGAATTCACGGCCCAGGAACTTCCTGAGCATGCGTGAATACGTGTGCATGTCCATGTTTCCAGGTTGGCTGAGACCGAAGGTGGAACACGGCATGAAAACCCTGTTGTGTGTGTGTCTCTCTTTTTCTCACCATACAAGAAATAAATAAACTTTAATTTTAAGTATTGGTTATGCCCTATGCTTTCTTGTTATATCTTCTTTTTTTGTTTTGTTTTGTTTTGTTTTTTCAGAAAGAGAGAGATTTTTGCTAGAAGGCACGTGCACTTGCTGGAGAGACAGACAGAGACAGAGAGAGAGAAGGCAAGAAATCACCCCCCACACACACACCAAGGGGATGGCCACGCCCCAATCCCTTCTCCTCCATTCTCCTCTTGGGATTTTGGGCACGCATGCACACATGCCCAGTGTTAGTTTTAAGCTGCCGGGTCCGGTACTTGCACTACAGTAGACTACATGGGAATCCAGTGATGTACCCATTGCATTATCTGCTGGTCCCTTGTTATATCATTATTCATCAACCACTTCAGCTGGACCACGTTGAAATTTAGTTAGTTCTACATTAAGGTAGGCTTAAGTGAACACCTCTTTTGAAATACTAAGAATAGTTAGTTATGCCCTGAATCCTATGGAAATAAAGCTTACTTTAATAGTCAGCTCTGGGGGCGAGTAGGTGGCATGGTGCTTAAAGGTGCTGGACTCCCACATGGCCAACTGTGGTCCAACTCCTGGACCTGGTGGCTTCCTTCCTCACTTCTCTCTCTCTCTCTCTGTCTCTCTCTGGTCAGACTGGAAAATAATAATAATAATAAATACAGTTAAAATAAAATAATTCTTAAAATAAAAAATCAGGTATTAAAAAAAACCTCCACACTTTTACAACAAAAATTTTGAGAATTGTGAGACCTCTTAATGACAAAAAGCATTTGATTTTTAATCATTGTGAGATCTCTTAATGACAAAAAGCATTTGATTTTTAATCTGTTTCTTTCTCTAAATTATATCTAGCTGAACTTTTAAATGAAAATGAAGAAATGCACAATCCTATATATTTTCCATGGGAGAAACTTACTCCATTTCAGAGACTTATTTTGGTAAGATATACTACGAGAAAATATTAACATCAAAATGTTTTGAGCAACTTATTGGTAATTTAAATCCTTCAAAATTAAAATTTTATAAGCAATATATATTGATTTTAAAAACCTAACATTTGGTGAATGTAATGTTAGGAAACAACACACTCAACCTTTACCATGACTCTCACATGGAGGGGTCTGGTTAGAGCAACATTCCTGACATCCCTCTAGCCCTTATTCACTCCTCTCTAAAGAGGAAGACTTACAACACTGGCAAATTTGAGAGATGAACTTAAATAATGGAGCCCCAAATACTGAACATACTCAGGACATCTTCTGTGGTCATTCCATAAAGAAATAGCATGTAAGTGATTTGTATAAAACAGTTTTCATGAAAAAGGTTTTTCCCCTGAAATTTGCAATGATTTTTCAATAGGCCCTGAAACTCTACTTCCACATGTCTACTGTGTCCAAAATATTTTAGTCTATCTAGAGTTTTTTTAAGATCTCTTGTCTAGGGACCAGCAGATGGCATAATAGTTATGTCGCTGGACTCCCACATGGCGCACCACTGTTTAAGTCCTGGACCTAAAGGCTTGAAACTCACAGCCAGGCATGTGTGCATGTGTGCCCAAAATCCTGAGAGGAGAATGAAGGAGAAGGGATTGCAGTATGGCTATCCCCCCCATCACTTTCTGCCTCTCAGTCTCTCTCTCTCTCTCTCTGGCAAGTGCCTGTACCCTGTAGCAAAAATCTCTCTTAAAAAAATTTTATTCTATTTTTTAAAATGTATGAAACTCTGACTTAAAAGCAAAAAAAAAAAAGTGTACTACTTATTTTTGTTCCATTTTACTATTAGGAATATCTCCCTGGGTAGTTTTTGTTTGTTTGTTTGTTTTTTGTGGGTTTTTTTTTTGGGGGGGGGGGGGGGGGGGGGGAGTTTGGGGGGGGGGTGCAGGTGAGAGATTTTTGCTATAGGGCACATGCACTTAATAGAGAGACTGAGAGACAAAAAGCAAGAAGTCACTCCCTGGAAGGATGGCCACACCACAGTCCCTTCTCCTCCATTTTCCTCTCAGGATTTTGGGCACATGTGCACACGCACCCAGAGTGAGTTTAAAGCCTCTGGGTCCAGGACTCAAACCATAATCAGTCATGTAGGAGTCCAGCGATGTAAACCATTACACTATCTGCTGGTCCCAACTTGGATAGTTTTTAAATTTATGTTATCTACGATATTTTCTTCTTCAGATAAAAATTCTTAGACCAGAACTTTTAAATAATTCAGTGAGAAAGTTTGTAACTGAAAAAATGGGAAGAGACTATCTCCACAGAACTGGAATTAATTTAAAAGAATCGTATGAAGAATCCAGTGCCAGAATTCCACTGATACTTGTGTACTCTCGTGGTAAGCTATTTGTGACTACTTAAGATAATGACACAGCACTGGCCAAAAGATGTAAAATAGGTTCTTTGTCAGGTTATTCTATATTGGAAACATTTTCCTATTCTTATTTAAACATTTTGGAAAAGAGATCGATTAAAACTTATACATAAATTATATTTCGAGTGAATATTTCTAAAAAAATAAAATAAGAAGAAAGAATAAAACTCCCCAGATTCACATATAGTGAAAAATGTGTCAGTGCTAATTTTCTGTGCAGATAATATCTTCCAAACATATATTATTGATCTGAAGGTTGGGATTGCCCTTTCACTTATTAACTACTTTAATTAGCATTGACTTATGACAATTCTGTTATAAAATAAACTGTTGGGTTGTCAGGACAGTCATGATGCATTTTTGCTTAGAAAAACAGAAAAATATGTCATGACTTTCCCGACAGCCAAATATATAGAAATCAGCCTTACTGCACTAGTCCCTGTATTCCTCAAAACTCCAAATAGTTTGTTTGTTTTTCTTGTGTTGCTCTGCAGACCCTCCCTCAGCAAAATATTTTCTCCTATGCAAAATGTTTTCTTCATTTATCTTATGTTCTTCATAGTGTCCAAATCAAAGGTGTCTTGAGAATTTACCATTTTTAAATTCACCATTTCTACCTGGAGGCTTTCTCGCCTGGAATATTTCCATGTAAAGCACTTGGCAATATGCCTGACACTGTCTTAACGGGTGCTGTCCATTTACTGAAGATAGTCTAAGATGGCTAGAGCCCTAGCCACCACATTCATGTTTTTTTGTGTTTTTTGAGAGATTTTTGCTATAAGACACACGCACTTGCCAGAGAGACAGAGAGAGACAGAGAGACAGAAAGCAAGAAATCACTCCCGGGGGGGTGGCCATGCCGCAATCCCTTCTCCTCCATTCTCCTCCCGGGATCTTGGGCACGCACGCACATACGCCTGGCGTGAGTTTAAGCCACTGGGTCCGGGACTCGAACCTTAGTCGACTACGTGGGAGTCCAGTGACATAGCCATTATGCTAACTGCTGGTCCCTCACATTCATGTTCTAAACAGCACAAGAAAAAAGGGATACTCCCTCCACCTTTAAGAACACATTCAAAATATTACACAACACTTTTGTAACAAATTTTTGCTGCCAAAGCCTATTCAGAAAACTTAGATGCCTATACCTAGCTGCAAGAGATGCTAAGAATGTTGTACTTTAGCTGCATACAACATCCTCTCAAGAAACATTGGAAACGGGACCAGCAGTTAGCGTACTGGCTATGTCGCTGGACTCTCATGTAGTCAACCAGGGTTCGTGTCCTGGACCCGGTGGCTTAAAACTCACACTGGGCGCATGTGCATGTGTGCCCAAGATCCCAAGAGGAGAATGAAGGAGAAGGGATTGCGGTGTGGCCATCCCCCCGGGAGGTGATTTCTCGCTTTCTGTCTCTCTGTCTCTCTCTGTCTGTCTGGCGGGCGCACGTGTCCTATAGCAAAAACCTCTCCGAAAGAAAGAAAGAAAGAAAGAAAGAAAGAAAGAAAGAAAGAAAGAAAGAAAGAAAGAAAGAAAAAGAAAGAAAGAAAGATTGGAAATAGCTTCAGAAAGGATGGAGGAATAGATAATCATCAGGTGCTTTTGTAGTTAGGTATTATTATCTTGGGCTGGCTTTGTGACCTGATGTTAAAGCACCCAGATCCCACATGTTTGACCATGCAGTTCGAGCCCTAGACCCAGCAGTTTGAGACGTATAATTGAACATGTGTGCATGTGTGCCCAAAATCCCAAAAGGAGACAGAGTGCTAGAGAAGGGATTGTGGTATGACTTCTTCCCATGGCATGGTTTTCCCCTCTCCCTGTCCATCTCTCTATCTCTGGCAAGCACAGGATACTGTCATCTCATATATTAGAAAACCTAAGTCACCTGACTAGTAAGTGGCAGAGCCAAAATCTGAACGCTGGCCTCGACTTTCAAAGCCTGTAGTCTTTCTACTATGGCTACACCACTCAATAAATGCTGGATTGTGTTACTAAGAGAGAATCGAATGACTTTATCATTTTATGTACCTCTCCATGTTGTTATACAGGGATTGACCTGACCAATACTGTCCTAAGATTTGCACAGGAGTTAAAAGGAACAACGGATGACGTGGCAATGATTTCTTTGGGCCGTGGCCAGGCAGCTAAAGCTGAAGATCTCATTGTTAAGGCACTAACCAGAACACAGCAATGGGTCTTCCTGCAGAACTGCCACCTCGCAGCATCATTTATGCCAAGGCTGTGCTCTATTGTAGATTCGTAAGAATTTTACATTTCTTTGGAAGGGATCAGATTAATTATGAAGTAACATTAGAAAAGGCAATGTATTTTATGTGCAAACAGTGGTAGAATAATGTGTCCTCTCTTCTGCAAGAACCCAAAAACTATACTATGACTATATCAATGTTTATTAGGGGGAAAAGTCTCTTTAATTTTTGTTCCCTATCTCATTTATCACTCTTTCTCCACCTTTCAGGAGCTCTCATTACCAATAGATATACATGCCTGTATGTACACACTTTAGAGACCAATTTATAGAGCTATGACATCATTTTTAATGTTCTATGATCCCAAACAGCAGAGTATAATACCTCATATCCATACTCTTAATGATTATTTTATGACTTATATTTAGTATCATTTCTGACTTTCTCTAGCTGAATCCACTGTTACAGGCTTTTGGTAAGTACCTTCCAAAGCACTTACGCAGAAATTTTTATAGGTTTAGCCTTCTGGTTCACAGAGGAAGCATTTGAAAATTATTGCTATAACTTTGAATGAAGAACTAGCAATGTGTTGAATTAGTCTTTTTGTTTGTTTGTTTTATTTTGTTCATGAGAGCGTGTATGTGTGCACACAAGAGAGAGTAAGAAAGCAAAAGAGAGAGGCACCGTTGACAGGGTCTGGTCATTTTGACATAGCCTTCCAGCTCACCAAGATCTTGGACATGTGCAGACAGTCCTGACACAGCATATTTCAGACCAGCCAGGCCAGGGATCTGAACCTGAGGCCAGACATGCAGCTTCTGTCACTGCAGCCTAGAGCACTACAGACTGCACCGCCTAGGCTGGGCCTGAATTAGTAATGTTTTAGCCAGTACAGTCTATAACTTTTTTCTCCAGCCTTGCTCTTCTATCTGCTTTACCTTATATGGCCAATATTGTATAGTAAAAGTGTGTTTAAATGAGAGTCTCTTCACTGTTATTTTTATGCTTTGAGCATGTGCAAGGAAACTATTTATGGGGTCGCTGGAAACGTCATGACATATTTTTACATAGAAATACACATCATAACTTTTCTGATTACCCAATAAAACCAACATGCCTGACTTAAAATTCTAAAAACCTTGCTAATATTATTCATCCTGTTCTCCAGGCTTTCATGAACAGTTTAAGAATTATTTAATAATTTCTCTTTTTCATATTTATTTCATGACTGAAGAAAGGCAGATGATAAAGATTACTTAGTTATGGGATTTCAGTAGATTTAAACTTTGTAAGATAATACAATAATTTCTATCATAGCTCTCATTCACTATTTATTTATTTTTTTGGGGGGGAAGGTTTTTGTTACAGGGCGCTTGCACTTGCCAGAGACTGAGAGAGATAGAGAGACGGGAAGCAAGAAATCATCCCCCAGGGTTGATGGCCACACCACAATCCCTTCTGCTCTATTCTCTCTCGGGATCTTGGGCACACACGCACACATGTCCAGCCTGAGTTTAAGCCCCCGGGTCCGGGGCTCGAATCACGGTCGACTACATGGGAATCCAGCGACATAGCCATTACACTAACTGCTGGTCCCAGCTCCCATTCATCATTCATTCAAAAATATGTATAGGATATCTACTGTTTTTCATTTATTGTGGTCAATGAGAACACAGCAAGGACCAAACACTGTTGCATTTTTCACAGGGTAAAGAAAGACAATGCCATAGCAGACAGCCACATGTCATATTACAAAACAAATAAACAGGGTCAGCAGGTGGAATGGTGGTTGAGTTGTTGGACTCCCACATGGCCAACCATGGTTCAAGTTCCAGACCTGGTGTCATGCTTTCTCACTTTCTCTCTCTCTCTGTCTCTCTCTGGTGAGTGTATGAATCCCATAGCAAACTAAAATAATAATAATAATACACTTTTTTTTCTTTTCAGAGGTTTTTGCTATAGGGTGTGTGCATTCACCAGAAAGAGTCAAAGAGACAGAAAGTGAGAAACCACCCCCCAGGGGATATGGCCATGCCACAATCCCTTCTCCTCCATTTTCCTCTTGGGATCTTGGGCATGCATGCACACACGCCCAGCGTGAATTTAAGCCACTGTGTCTGGGACTCTTACTGCGGTCGACTACATGGGAGTCCAGCGACATAGCCATTATGCCAATTGTTGGTCCCAATAGTACATTTTTTTTTAAGTTAGAGAGATGTGGGGCAGGCAGGTGGTGTGGTGATAAGGACGCTGCTTGACTTCCATATGGCCAACTGCTATTTCAGTTCTTGACCTGGTGGCTTACTTTCTCACTTTCCCTCTCTGTCTCTCTCTGATCAAACTGAAAAATAATAATAATAATAAATTAAGTTAAATAAAATAATTCTCAGAAAAAAATAAGTGAGAGAGATGTTCCTCAGAATAGAATTTCAAAGCCTTAATAAGAATAATGGGCCAGTCTGGGGCATGGTGATTAAAGCTGCTAGATCTCACATGGCCGACTCTGAGGTTCAAGTCTTGGACCTGGCAGCTTAAGAAATACACTTGGCATGTGTGCATGTAGATTCAAAATCCCAAAAGGAGGGAGAAATGGAAGAGTAGGGATTGAGGTGTGACCATTCCCGATGGGGAGTGCTTTCTGTCAGCCTGTCTATCACCCAGTGGCCCCAACTCCCAGTGAGTTCATGAACCCTCTGGCAAATTTAAATAAATAAATAATGATGCACAGAGGCCCAACCTATGGCACAGTCAGTACCATATTGAACTGCAGTGCTAGAAGCCACAGGACTGACTGTGGGTTAAGATCTCCAGCTCAGCTGGCCTGAAACACACGAGGTGCTTATGCCTAAGATCATAACAAGCTGAAAGGCTTGGGAAAAGGAGTTGCAGTGTGAAGAGGCCTTGCTCATGCTGCTTTCTTTCCCTCCTTCACTTACTCAAATGCATGAGCTATTATTTTTTTTTTTTTTGGAGAGGTTTTCACTATAGGGCGCATGCGCTCGCCAGACAGACAGAGAGAGACAGAGAGACAGAAAGTGAAAAATCACCCCCCGGGGGGATGGTCATGCCGTGATCCCTGCTCCTCCATTCCCCTCTCGGGATCTTGGGCACGCACACACACGCACCCAGAGTGAGTTTTAAGCCACTGGGTCCAGGACGCGAACTGCGGTTGACTACGTGGGAGTCCAGCGACATAGCCATTACGCTAACTGCTGGTTCCCAATGCGCTATTATTAATAAGAGCAATGATGTATTAAAATATTCAGCATATAATTGCGATAAGAGTATGATTAAAAGGTATTCATACTTCTTTGTTACATCACGCTTTTAGATATTTAAGACCACCACACTAGCAGCCTACAGTGGGAGAGGAAAACGAAAAAAAAAAATATTTCTTAAATTTAGGAGTTAAAGATGCTCATAATAGATTGCTAGGAGGAAAAAATATCAAGCTATGAATAATACGTACAGTCTAATATTTTCACTTTTAAAAAAATAAACAACAGAAAGAAAAAAGAAAAAAATGTACTTAAACCTATTTAGTGGGATTACAGGTGATTTTTATTTATCTGTTTGTTTTGTGTTTAGTGCATTTTTGCTTTTACTGTTTTGGTTTTCTATATCTTTAAAAAATATCTTTGGACTTGCAGAAAAGTTGCTAGAATAGTACAAAAGAAAAAAAACACCCTGTACCTCTCATCTCTATTTCCTAATTTAAACATTTTCTGTGTAATTTTCAGAATGATTTGAAAGTAAATTACTTTTATTTTCACCAGCAAGTGGCATGGCGATTAAGGGGCTTCAGCAGGTGGCATGGTGGTTAAGGTGCTCTGGACTACCATGTGGCTGACCGTGGCTCAAGTCCTGGACCTAGTGGCTTGAAAATCATACTGGGTACATGTGCATATGTGCCCAAAATCCCAAGAGAAGAATGGAGGAGAAGGGACTGCAGTGTGGCCATTGCCCTGGGGGGATGATTTCTCACTTTCCCTCTCTCTGTCTCTCTCTGACGAACGCACGCACCCAATGGCAAAGAAAAAAAAGAAAGAAAGAAAGAAAGAAAGAAAGAAAGAAAGAAAGAAAGAAAGAAAGAAAGAAAGAAAGGAAGGAAGGAAGGAAGGAAGGAAGATAAGAAAGAAAATAAGTAAATTATGGGCATGTCACCTGAGCCCTAAATACTTCAGTGTGTATTACTATGTAAGCAACAGAATTAGTAATATTTAGTCTATTGTCCCATTAATATCTTTTGTTGCAAAAAAAATGATAAAAAGTTCTGAATTCAGATTCTGGATTTCTCATTGTATGTGATTGTCTTGTTTCTTAACTCTTCTTTAATCTAGAATAGTTCCTTTGTCTGTCATTGTCTTTTGAAACTTTGGTATTTTTGAAAAGCACCAACTAGTTACTTTATAAAGTGTCTCATTTTGTTATGAGTCTAGTATTTTCTCATGGGAAGATTATGGCTATGCAGTATTGCAGAAATACCACAGAAATATGTTGTATCTTTCTCAGTACACATCAAAGGCACATACGATGTGAATTTGCCTCATTACCAGTGATATCGACTTTGATCGTTTGTTAAAGTGGTAGCTACTGGGGCAGGCCCCATAGTACAGTGGTTTAAGCACAATGCCTAGGAAGCCAGATCCCACATGGCCAACTGCTGTTCGAAAATCATATTGGGTGCTTGAGCATGCGTGCCCAAAGTCCTGACACAATGGAGAAGTAGAGGGAAAGGACTATGGCATGACCATATATTTTTGGGGGGGTATTTTCTTGCCCTCTCTCTTACCATCTCTCCCTTTTTTTGTCTCTAGTAGTACAAGCACCTTCTGGTAATTTTTTTTTAAAAATGGTGGTATCTGTCACTTGTGAGAATTTTCATGCCATGTGTGTATATATTTTATCTGTTAACTTTAACCTTTTTAAATATATTTGGCTGTATGATCACTATGTTATTTGCCAGACAGTGGCTTTCTAATGCCACAATTCTTTCTAAATTTACTTAGTGATATTCTTCTATGATGAAATACTTTTCCTCCTCACATTTATTTATTCATGTCAGTAGAGACTCGCTGATTCCTATTTTATTGATTAGATTATAATGTTGCTATTTTTATTTATCTTAATGTTCAATTGTTCCAAGTCTGATCAGTGGAACTCTTTGTTTTGCTTAGCTTATACTCAGAGAGGGAAAAGCTACTTATTAAAAATGGGAGTTGGGATGGGCCAGCAGGGGTGGTTAAGGAGCTGGACTCCCACATGGCTGACCGTGGTTCAAGCCACAGATCTGGCGGCTTGAAAATCATACTAAGCGCATGAGCGCATGTGCCCAAAATCTCAAGAAGAGAATGGAGAAGGGAAGGCAGTCCGGAAGGGATTGTGGCCTGGCCCATCTTGGTGAGTGCCTTTCTCCATTGAGTGTACATGCCCTATGGTAAAAACCTAAAAAAGGGGGGGGTGGGGTTGGGGAGAACAGGTGGCGTGGTGGTTAAGGCACTGAATCCTGGACTCAGTGGCTTGAAAACACATGCTAGCCACACGTGCATGCATGCCCAAAATCCCCAGAAGCGAATGGAGGAGAAGGGATTGTGGCCTGGCCCATCCCTCCTTGGCAGGTGGTTTCTCACTTTCCCCCCTCTCTGTCTTTCTCTGGTGAGTGCACACATCCTATAGCAAAAATCTTGGGAAAATAATGGGAATAAGTGGGTCTTGTGCAAATTCTTGTGCAACATAAAACTCTTTTTGTAATGTAATAAGAAAAATTTTCAGTATTGAAATGATTTTTAAAGTCATTTCAAACATTAAAATGCTAGGACTCCAAGAATATCATAGTTTTCTTTAAATTTTACATTAAAATATTTAAATGTGTGTGTGCATGTGTGTGTATGTGTGTGTGTGTATATATATATATATATTTTTTTTTTCTTTTACAGACTCAGTAATCCAGATGTGACAGTAGATCCCGAGTTTAGGCTATGGTTAAGCTCAAAATCAGATAGTTCTTTCCCAATTCCTATTCTTCAAAAGGGTTTAAAGGTAAGAATAACAGGTTTTAATACTAAGAAACTCTGTTTGGGGACTAGCAGTTGCCATAATAGCTATGTCGCTGGACTCCGTGGCTTAAACTCCGCCGGGCACGTGTGCATGCATGCCCAACTCCGTAGTTGACCGTGGTTCAAGTCCTGGACCCAGTGGCTTAAACTCACGCCGGGCACGTGTGCATGCATGCCCAAGATCCCAAGAGGAGAATAGAGGAGAAGGGATTGTGGCATGGCCATCCACCCTGGGGAGTGATTTCAAGCCTTCTATCTCTCTCTGGCTTTCTGGCAAGTGCACGTGCCCTATAGCAAAAACCTTTCAAGGAAAAGAAACTGTTTGAATACAAGTCATCTTACATTTATAATTCTGAATTAAGAGCATGCTAATTGTGGCATGCTAAATGTCTGCTTTGTGCTCCGCCCTATACTGGGACCAGAAACTATTCTGGGACGAGGAAGTAGACTGGTCCCTGCTGTCTGGAAAGTAATTCACAATTCAGGGATTTGTTTCCCCCAAATAAGAACACTAGGCTTCCAGTTGTTATAAGCAAAACTACATGATCAGTGTCCTTTTCTTGCCTTTTGCTCCTCTAGTTTTGTTTTTGATTTTGCTCCTCTTAGCTAGTTTACAGTTTATTAATTCTCTGGAAAAGGTCTGACAGAAAGTAGATTGAAATTGTTTACTAAAAAGTCCTAACTATGGATTTTCTGTGACTTATATCCACCATTGAGATCAAATAAACATCAAGACTTAGTCAGTTCTGTTAAACAAGTTGGCCAAAAGTGGAATCTTAACAGCAAAGAATAGTGACCAACAACATAGACAGAATACTATACCAAGACTGTGAGCACATGGACACTTCCAACTGACCAGGGTAGGGGATGGATGAAATCGGGGAGATGAGGCACTTTCCTGATAGAGTGTCATCCCACCTGGGAATAAATCACACTCACTCATGGAAAACTATGAAGCTTCTCCCTATCACACTGCTCCTCAGCAATTCCCCATCTCCTACATATTTTTACCCAAATTGACAGTACTGAACTGCATCCCAAAAGTCCCACTCCTAGAGCAGACAGAATGTGGATTGAAGAAACCTACAACTTACTCTGAGACTTGAGGTATTGCATTTATCTCCCAGAGTCTGGAAGATTATCATCTCAAACAGCCTTTGATCTTTGGCCAAGAGTAAGTGACTTAAGAGGTGGAGGTAGTGAGGGGAGAAGAATGAAGGTTGGTAGAGAGGGACAGAGCATCAAGGGACGTTTTATTTTAAGGAAGTTCATTGCTCTAAGTCCACTTTAGGTCTTCATTGGCATAAGTATTTTTAATGCAGCTATAATTAGAGTAGACACAAAATTTTATATGCCATTATCTATGTAGATAGATGAAAATGTTATACAAACAAGAGAATCCACAAATAATTAAGGAAAATAGTCACATCCCATAAAAAAATGAGCAAAGAACAGAAGAGGTCAATAAACATATGAAAAACAAAAGTGCAGCATGTAGATGTCAGAATATATACATATAGTCTTTTAAAAGTTCATACTAGTGGATCAATTGACCCCCTCCAGGAAAAGATCAAATAAATTATGGTGCACTTTTTCTCTTGTTGTTATCACTGTTTAATCTGTATTTCACTTTCATTTCTTTTTTTTTTTAATTGCTAAAGGGCTTGCTAAAGAAAAAGAAAAAGAAAGCACTCCCCAATAGAGCACACTCAAGCTACAATCATCTTCCTTCATTTCTCCATCCCGTCAGGATTTGGGGGCAGACACACACACACACACACACACACACACACAAGTGCCCAGTGTGTTTTTCAAGCCACTGGGGCTGAAACTCAAACCATGGTCGGCCATATGGGATCCAGCTCCCTATGCACAGTGCTTAATCACTCCTCTACAGGGCCCTCCCAGTTATGGTATATACATGTGATGAACTAGTATGCTGTCACTAAAAGTCAAGTCTATCAGACGGATCAGCCATAGTCTCAGTAAAAGCCCTCCAACTGATTCCTTTACCACCTCCCCCAATCAGTTATCATTTCAATTATTATAGTTAAGAAGTCAATCAAATAAATGTTCAATGCATGTAAAATTTGGTAACATACCAAAATAATTCTCCTTATTTTTTCTTAAGAGAGATTTCTGCTATAGGGCCTGTGCACTCACCAGAGAGACAGAAAGCAAGAAATCACCCCACAGCAGGATGGCCATGCCACAATCCCTTCTCCTCCAATCTCCTCTTGGGATTTTGGGTACACACACATACGTGCCCAACATGTGTTTTTAAACTGCTAGGGCCAGGACTCAAACCATAGTTGACTATGTTAGAGTCCAGCAACATAACCATTATGCCATCTGCTGGTCCTTAGTTCTCCTTTTTAATATAAGTGGCAACTAGATCTTTTCACTGGTTCAGTTAGGGCTCTGTTTCCTATGAGTTGGTACACCCTGTCTCTGCTGTCTTACTGAGGTCATGCAGCCCTGATTCTGTTGTGGCCACTTTGCTACCATTGGCAAATAAATTTAGACTATGTAACTCTTCATCATCAAACTTTCTAAAATGCTATGCTTCTGGAACCGCATATTTAGAGCACATGGAAGTGCTTTTAATCACAATAATCACAGTAATGTTATAATTCTCATTTTAAAATACAGATTAGAACAATATAAACTCTGAGACCATGCTTCTCATAGAAGTTTTCAAATGGCTGGGACCAGTAGATGACATAAGGGTTATGTCGCTGGACTCCCACGCAGTTGACCACGGTTCAAGTCCCAGACCCAGCAGTTTAAAGCTCACGCCAGGCGTGTGTGTGTACATGCCCAAGATACTGAGAGGAGAATGAAGGAGAGGGGATTGTGGCATGGTCATCTGCCCAAGGCCTGATTTCTCGCTTTCTGTCTCTCTCTGTCTCTCTGGCAAGTGCACAAACCCTATAGCAAAAATCCCTCTCAAAAAAAAGAAAAGTTTTCAAAAGAATAACACATGATTTTCCAATGAATCTTGAAAAGCAAACGTCTTAGCTATTTATTTTCTTAGTGTTATACAAAGGGAAGTCTCCTCCAGACCGAGTGCCTGCATCTGTCTTCACATGCTGTTTTTACTCATGTCTGTTTTAAAGATTGCTGTGGAACCTCCCCAGGGATTGAAAAGTAATTTACTTCAGACATTTGGATACAGTGGGAGTGGAGAAATAACAAAAGACATATTTGAAAACCCCGACTGTGGACAATGGTGGAAAAAAATTTTATTCAGCCTATGTTTTTTCAATGCTGTGATCAATGAAAGAAAAAATTATGGAACATTGGGCTGGAATATTGCTTATAAATTTAGTTCTTCAGACTTGGAGGTAAGTGTTATCTTTTCACAAACAATAACAATAAAATTTAAACTGGAAGCCTACCACACATCTGCACAAGTTCGAAGTGTTTTACATGGTGGTAGGAAAATGAACTCTGTAACTAGGCAATAAAGGCTAACATTCGAAAACATAGACTTTGAAGCCAACTCTTCTGGAATCAAATTACAACTCCACCCCTGTAACTGTACAAATATTTAATCTATTAGGCAAATGAAGTAACCTCTTTAGGTTTTAGTTTCCTTGGCCAAAGAAAGAAAAGGTACTGAAATTTGTACCTTTGGAACCCAATGATTTGATGCTTTAAGTAAAGCACTTAAAACAGTATATGTGGCATGTACAGATGACTATGAAAATGTCAGTATTATTCATTTAAAGCAAGTGAGATTACACTGGCTCATTGTGTGAGGAGGAAATTGTATGCTTTATTGTTAAAGTATATATATTGTAACTCCTGCTTAAGTTTTTCCCAGATTAACTTTCATGAAACTGCTTTCAGCTCAGAATATTGCTCTCTAGATTACTCATTCACTTATACTTTAGAGTTTTGTTTTGTTTTGTTTTAAATGTTTGAGGAAAATTCTGCCTTCAGTATCTATCACCAAGTCCCACCCTAGATAGATGAATATTTTTGTATGTCTCCTACATGTCTACCTTAGACTTTTCAGTTTCACAAAAGATTGTCATACTCACTGCAAGCCTGGCTGCCTATCAGAGTATGGGTTTCTGCACCTAACCAGAAGCATAATATAAAACAGCTGATCCTAGAGACCAGAAAAGAATGTGATGATATAGTCAAAGTACTTACCAGGCAAAAATACTGTCACGCAAGAGTATTATACCCAGCGAAGGTATCCTTCAGAAAGAAATGAGAAAAGAGGTATTTCCCAGACAAGCAAAAATTGGGAATTTATCTGCACTAGACAAGCTTTTAAAAATATGTTTATGAGGATTCTTCATCTGGAAGCAAAAGAATGATAACTACCATCATAAACACATGTAAAAGAATAAAACTAGGGTCAATACACAAATAAGAAAGAGAAAGAAATTAAATCTTTTTTTTAAGAGAAGTTTTTGTTATAGTGTGCATGCACTCGCCAGAAAGACAGAGAGAAACAGAGAGGCAGAAAGCAAGAAATCACCCCCCACCCCCGGGGGAATGACCACACCACAATCCCTTCTCCTCCATTCTCCTCTCAGGATCTTGGGCAAAGACACACATGTGCCAGTGTGAGATTAAGCCACCTAGTCAGGGACTCAAACCACAGGTGACTATGTGGGAGTCCAGTGACATAACCATTATACCACCTGCTGGTGCCCAAGAAATCAAATCTTAACACTGAGAAAAACACCAAACTGCAAAAATAAACTATGAGAGAAGAGGAAAGGAACAAAGAAAATACAAAACAACCAGAAAACAATGAACAAAATGTCAAGAGTGATCCTCACCTATCGATAATAGCCATGAATTAACTCCTAAACCTTGATTGAACTCCCAAACAAAAAGATATATAGACTGGGTGAATAGATTATAAAACAGGATGCAACTATATATGACTACAAGAAATTCACTTTACTGGTAAAGACACACATAAACTAAAAATGAAGGGATGGAAAATTATATTCCATGCAAACAAAAAGCAAGCAGAAGTAGCTGTATTTAAATAAAATAGACATTAAGTCAAAAACTGTATAATGAGTCACTGTAAGATGATACAGGGATCAATTCTGCAAGAAGATATCACAATGGTAAATATATACGCACCCAAGAACAAAACACTCAAAAATATAAAACAACTATTAGATCTATAGGGTGAGATAGACTCCAATACAATAATAGTTGGGAGCTTCTTCACCCTATTTTCAGCATGAACAGACTACCTAGACAGAAAATTGGCAAAGAAACATCAGGCTTAAACTGCACTGTAGACCTAAAAGACATAACAGACATTTATAAAACATCTTATTCAACTGCTACAGAATACACATTCTTTTCACTATTACATGAGACATTCTTCAGGAGACTATATATGATAGGCCATGAAAGAAATATCAACAATTTTTTTCATTGAAATCATATCAAGTACCTTTTCTAACCACAATGGAACAAAACCAGAAATCAGTAACAAATGAACTTTGGAAACTACAAATACAAGAAATTAAACAGTAGGCTCCTGAATAACCAATGAGTGAATGAAGAAATTAAGAAGAATTTTTTTTAATTTCTTGAAACAAATAAAAATGAAAACACAACATACAAAAACCTATGGGATATGACAAAAGCAGTACTAAGAGGTAAGTTTAGAACAAAACATGCTTATAAAACATATAGTAAAATTTGATATAAACAACTTAATGACATACCCAAAAGAAACAAACAAGAATAAACCAAACATAAAGTCAATAGGAGGAAAGAAATAATAAAGATGAGAGCAAAAATAAATGAAATGAGAATGAAAAAAAAAAAAAACACAAAAGATCATGAAATGAAAAGTTGTTTTTGGAAAAAAATAAAATAGAGAAACCATTAAACTAAGAAAAAAGACAGAAATAAACAAAATCAGAGACTAAAAAGGAGACATTATGACAGATATCACAGAAATACAAAAGATCATTAGTGTTTTAGTCCATTTGCTAATAGCAAATACTGCAACTGGGAGATTTAAAAATAAAGATATTTTGCAGATCACAGTTTAGAGATCCAAGGTCCAAGTCTACATCTGGGAGAGGTCATGCAGAGTCACAAGAGGGAGAGAGGAGAGGAGGAGAGGAAAGAACAAAGAAGAATGAAATCAACTGATGTACATGTCACTGCATAGAATATCTGTGTAAGGACACCCAAGAAATTGCTATCGATGATGGCTTAAGAAAGGAGATCTGATAGCGAGTACAGGGGAGGAAAAGACTTACTTCCCCTTGTTTATCCTTTTATACCTTTTAAACTCAATACTATATGCTTGTTCTGTCTATTCAAAGAATAATAATTAAACATTCCAGTGGTTATTCAACAACAATAAAAGAACTAATGAATAAAGGTATGTATATGCTAAGATTTTTCACTCCTCTTACATTTCCATACATTTTTAAAAGAGAAATTATTTGTAGCTGTTTAAGAGTCAATTTTATGTTAAAACTCAAAGCTGAAACATGTACTGAAATAATAAAAACTCGCTAATTTTCTAAAGGTTACCATAAAAACACTGGAAAACACCCTGAGTGGACAGTCCAATATTCCATGGCAGGCACTGCGCTACCTGATTGGGGAAGTGATTTATGGTGGCCAAGTCACTGATACGTGGGATAAGCGATGCTTAAACACCCTTCTGTACAAATTTTGTAATCCTGAAGTGCTGAAAGATGACTTTAGTTTCTCTTGTGATGAGGTAAGAAAAGAATTATCTTCTTACGTTACTCAATTATTTTTAGCTAAACATCGTTGCATTATTTTAAATATGTATTTAAATTAATTATACTGTTCACTTTTAATGGCTTTTTATTAATGTCTAGTATTTTTAAAAGTACCCATTATTCTATTAAATACGGCATTATACTGGGTGGTAAATAAAAAGAATGATAAAGAGGGTCATCAGGTGGTTCATCTGGCTTGGCTGTTAAGGCAGCTGGATTCCACATGGCCTACTGCACAATTTAAGTCCTGGACCTGGGCTTGAAAAACACTCTGAGTATATGGGTCTGTACGCCCAAAATCCCAAGAGTCGAATGGAAAAGAAAAGTATCATCCTGGGGGGGGAAGGTGATTTCTCTCTCTCTCTCCTCTTTCTGTCTCTCTCCAGTGAGTGCACACACCCTACAGAAAAACTTAAATAAACAAATAGTTCATGCCCTACTAAGAATGTATAATATGAAGTGCAAAGTATAAGGAGGCAGAAGCAAACTATTCTATGCTAGCCAATGTATATATGTTTCTCATTTAATTATTTTAATATTCAAACACCATGTGGAATAAATATTATTCCAAGTTTACAGGTAAGGAAACTAAGGTTGCTAGCATGTAAGCACATACAAGTATTATAATAAGTAGCAAAACGGAGATTGAAGAATTATGTCCCCACCCCAAGCACACGAAATCAAGTGACCAGAGATCATATCCCGGTCATCTATCTAGGATTTTGAGAGTATGGAGAGAAAAAAATACTAAAAATGGTATCTTAGGAAGATTAATTTATAAAGCACTATAAAATGAATAGTAATAGTTTATATTGATAACTCTGAACTAACAAGACATTAAATTATATCCTTTATACACTATTTATACATTATTTAGAGGAAAACCTAAGAGGTTTTTTTTTTTCTTTCAATACCCATTAAAAACTATTCAAAATATATTTAGTTCAGTTTATAATCTAAAGTCAGTCCTTAGGGTAAAATTACCCTTGAATATCCTTTGTCATCTTTTTTTTAAAAGTATATTTATTTTTCCTATGAGACAGACAAATATAAAGGCATCCCCAACAATGTTTCCATACCACAATTCACCCCCAGCCTTAGCCAGCCTAGAACACAGGCACACACATGTGCCCAGCATGTACAAGTAGGCCCCAAAACACAAACCCAGGATCTCCTTTGTGGGTCCTGCACATTGCCGCTGCACCACCATCTGCGACCTGACCTTGAAAAATCCTTTAAAATTACTCAAAATTATGGTGTGCATGGTTTTTATATATAGACTATTACATTAAGTATTTATAACTGAATAAAGTATATAGTAATATATGGCATAAAATTTGCATCGGCACAATTATATCACATGACAGAAATATATTCAGTAATCATGTATCTCAATTGTTCAATTGCTTTAAAACACTGGATTTTTTTTTTTTTTTTGAGATTTTTGCTATAAGGTTCATGAGATCACCAGAAAGACAGAAACAGAAAGTGAGAAATCACCTTCCTGAGGGATGGCCACACAGCAATCCATTCTCTATTCTCTTCTCAAGATTTGGGGCACAAATGCACATGTTCCAGGCATGAGTTTCAAGCCTCCAGGTCCAGGACGCGAACAGGGACTCAAACTGTGGTCGGCCATGTGAGAGTCCAGCGCCTTAATCACTAAGCTACTTGCTGGCCCTGAAAACACTGATAATTTTATAACAGTGTCAACTTGCCAGCTCTTCCCATTCTTGACATAATGTTAGCTTCTTCTGTGGATAATTTTATCAGTAACATTGTTGTTTGATGTTTCCCTGTGGCCCTCATTAATTCCTCAACTTTTTCCTTAAGAATATCAAGAAAGCTACCAACATCCACTTTCCTGACATACGTATAATGTATTTCTCTGCTTTAACAGAAGTGAATTATTTGTAAGATCATCCTTACTTTCTCCTATAGGATTCAGTAAACTAAAATGATTTGTTCAAGCTTTATTGCATCTAGTTTCCATGAGTATGTTTCATTGAGGCAATGGATGGTTGGAGTCACCTTAGTTTTTAGTGTTTTTTTTTTTCTCTCTCTTTTACAACAAGGACGCTATATGTGCATATCATATGCATGTGACAATACAGTGGTTTCAGATGTTGCTTTTGACAGTGTCTAGAGTATAGTACATGCAAATAAGAGGTGTCTGTATAAAATTTTATGTGAAAACACTGTCTTCCTTACAGACATTTCACTCAGGCAAACACTAACAAAGTGGTTACATTTTCAGATATGTCAGCCAGTGCCAAAATACGGGAGCATGGAGGACTACATACACATTATCCAGTCCTTACCTGACGATGAATCTCCCGAGGTCTTAGGGATACATCCTGAAGCCACAAGGAGCTGTGGGGAGACCAAAGGCCAGAAGTTAATTGAAAGTCTCATTGCTATGCAACCAAAAACTACCACAGCCAGCCTCATGACCTGGTAAGAACTCTGTAGGAAGAATTATTAGTAAAAAGTTATTAAATGCTTCTTTGAGGAGATATAGACTAGAACTTGCAAAAGTATAGTCTACATGGTGGAGAAACAAAATTCTCCAAATAACACAGAAGCAAGTATACACATGCATATATGCACACACATAAACCCAAACTATAGTAGTTCAACAAATCTTCCTTGTGTGAATGTCCCCAGGGGGATGGCCACCCCACAGTCCCTTCTCATCCATTTTCCTCTCACATCTTGGACATGCATGCACACAAGCCCAGCATGAGTTTTAAACCACTGGGTCCAGGACTCAAACTGTAGCCAACTAGGTGAGTGTCCATCAATGTAACCATTACACCATCTGCTGGCCCCACTGTACAGAAACTTTTTAACTTAATGTAATCCCACTTGTCTATTTTTGTGAATATTGCCTGTGTTTTAGGGATCTTAAATTTTTGCCTACTCTGATGTCCTCAAGAGTTTCTTCGTGTTTTCCACCAGTCATTTTATAGTTTTAGGCTTTACATTTAGAATTTTGATCCATTTTGAGTTGATTTTTGCTAATAGTGAGAGAGAGGGGTCTAGTTTCATTTTTTTAAGTAGATGGATATCCAGTTCTTCCAGCACCATTCGCTGAAAAGACTTTTTTTCCTCCACTGCATTATCTTGTACCTTTTGTCCAAGATCAGTTAGCTGTATTTTGGGGTTTAATTCTGGATTTTCTATTATGCTCCATTGGCGTAAGTGACTGTTTTTGTGCCAGAATGATGCTGTTTGGATTATCACAGCTTTGTAATATATATGTGTAGGTCAGGTAATGAAATGCCACTTGGTTTATTCTTTTGCACAATATTGCCTTGGTGATACAGGGCCTTCCCTGATTCCGGATTAATTTTAGGATTTCTTTTTCTATTCCTGTAATGTCTCTGGTAATTAGATTGGAATCACATTTTTTCTTTCTGCAGATATATTCATGAATTTGTAAATTAATTTGGGTAGAACTGACTCTTTTTTTTTTTTTTTTCTCTTAATGAGAGAGATTTTTGCTATAGGGTGGGTCCACTCACTGGACAGAGTCAGAAAGACAAAAAGGAAGAAATCACCCCCCAGTGGGGATAGCCATGCCACAGTCCCTTCTCCTCTATTCTCCTCTTGTGGTCTTGGACATGCATGCACACGTGCCCAGAGAGTTTTAAGCCACTGGGTCTGGGACTCAAACTGCAGTTGACTACATGAGAGTCCAGCGACATAACTAGAACTGACATTTTTATTATATTTATTCCAGTTCAAGAGCACAGGATGTCTTTTCATGTTTTTGTATCACACTCAATTTTTTTTCCATTCTTCATAATTTTTCCAGTACATGTCTTTCACCTCTGAGGTGAAAGGTTTATTCATGTGTGTGTGTGTGTGTGTGTGTGTGTGTGTGTGTGTGTGTGTATCTGTTATAAATAGCCTTCATTGCTTCAGTTGAAAGGTCTGATGTTAGTCTAATAGAGTAAGTGTTACTTGGCATGCTTTCTTCAGTTCTGCCTCAATCCATTCATTGTTGGTGTGTAAAATTGCCGTAGATTTTATATATTGATTTTGTGTTCTGCAAATTTACTGAGCTTATTTATCATTTCTAGAAGTTGTTTTGTGGATTTTTCTGGATTTCCTGTGTAAATAATGTTGTTTGCAAATAGGAAATTTAGCTTTTTCTTTTCTTATTTGAATACTTTTTATTTTACTCTCTTGTCTGACTCTGCTGGCTAAGACTTTCAGCACTAGATTGAAAAGGAGTTAAAAAAGGGGGCAGCCTTGTCTTGTTCTGGTTTTTACCGGGAAATTGTTCAGCTTTCCCTCATTCAGTATGATGCTAGCAATGCTTTCTCATATACAGCTTTTATTATATTGAGAAAATTCCTTCTATACCTATTTTGCTGTCTTAATCGTAAAGGGATATTGTATATCAAATCCTTTCTCTGCATCAAATGATATGATCATGATTTTCATCTTTCCTTCTGTTGCAATGTATTATATATACTGTTTTGCATATGCTGAACTATACTTGCATCTTTGGGATAAAGCCTACCTGATCATAGTGTACAATCTTTTTTTTTTTTTTTTCTTTTTTTGGAGAGGTTTTCACTATAGGGCGCGTGCGCTCACCAGACAGACACAGAGAGACAGAGAGACAGAAAGCGAGAAATCACCCCCCCAGGGGGGATGGCCACGCCGTGATCCCTTCTCCTCCATTCTCCTCTCGGGATCTTGGGCACGCACACACACGCGCCAGGCATGAGTTTTAAGCCACCAAGTTAGGGGACGCAAACCGCGGTCAACTACGTGGGAGTCCAACAACATAGCCATTAAGCTAACTGCTGGTTCCCATAGTGTACAATCTTTTTAATGTGCTATTGGATTCAATTTCCTAGTATCTTTTTGAGAATTTTTGCACCTATATTCATTAGGGATATTGATCGGTAGGCAGTTTTTTGTTTTTCTTTTTTTCCATTTTTCTATAGGATGCATGCACTTGCCGGAAAAAAGACAGACAAAAAGTGAGAAATTACCATGACTACCCTCTGAGTGTGTCAGAGGAAACCTTTTCTGTAAACACACAGGAATTTGACAAGTAGCTGAATAACCTATTAGGTTACTTAAGCAGGCTCTGTTTGGTTGCCTCCCCTTTTCTTTCAATCCTGAAAACTTTAAAAACACACACTTCTTTACAAATGTCTAAAGTGCACTGGATGAAATGAACTCCATGTTATCTAGAAGATGTTCCACACAACGGTTCTGGGGTTCTATGAAGCTGAGAGCTGGAAACGGCGTACCCTCCTAGATTAGAAAAACCTGTATCCCATTCTTCTTTTCATTTCTTTTGCAGTTCTGAGCAAAGTAATGATGAATTGGTGATAGAAATTTTATCCGACGTGCTAACACGGCTGCCACTGACAGTGGAGAAAGAAGAGTGTGCTGGAACTCCAAACACATTTAAGTGCATGATGTTAAGCCCCATTTGGAAGTCTCTTTACAGCAGTGTCAGTGGTGAGCATGGAACAGGAGCTTCTTCCCCTCACTTCAGCCTTTTCAGGAAAGGACTCTGGCATCAGAAGGGAGGAAGACAGGACAAAAGAGAACCAGAGAGGCGGAAATGCTGAGACAAGATGGAAAACTAAACCTCTGCCTCCCTTACTCTCTAAGTTGGGAGACAGGGTGCAGAGAAGAAAATTATTCTGTAGGTTTTATGTGAGTGGGTGGTCTTAAAAAAATGCATATTATTAACAAAAACCTATTCGTGGATTTGAAAATTTTTTGTCACTAAATAAACTTGTGCTTTAATTAAATTTTTCCACAAACGTTTTAAAATCCCCTCATATATTTTGTCTGACCTTTACAGAAAATATTTCTCTGGGCCAGCCCTGTAGCCTAATTATTGAGGAAACAGATCCCATGTGGCCAACACAGTACAAATCCTGGCCCTGGTAGCTTGACAAACGTCCTGGATACCTGTATGTGCATGCCCAGAATCCTGACCGAATGGAAAAATGGCAGAGAAGGGATTGGGAAAGGGGATGCTTTCTCCCTGTCTGGTGAATCATGTACCCTCTGGCAATTAAAAAATGGAAATTTCTTTAACTTTAACTTTTAAAACCTGTGTCCCTCCATGTAAAACTCCTTTTTAATATATTACATTGTTTCTGTTTTGTTTTGTTTTGTTTTTTCTCCATCCAGGCTATGATCCCCTTATCCATTGTGTCTTACTAATCTTTTTGAAACAAGAAATTGAACGATTTGATAAGTTATTATCTGTCATACATAAATCTTTAAAAGATCTTCAACTTGCTATAAAAGGAGAGATCATCCTCACCCCAGAATTAGAAGAAATATATGACTCTATTCTTAATACAAGAGTGCCTACCTTGTGGCAGGTAAGCAATGATTATTTCCTATTTGCTTGTTTAGCATCAATTTCCAGGTTCAAGGGAATGATGAAGGTAACTACGGTACATCTCATAATGAAATAGAAATATTATGTAACCATTAAAAGATGCTGACATACTTTTGGTAGAGCATATAATAATACTCTTAGAGGATAAATCTACTTAAATTTATTTCAGAGATGTTTATCACAAGACTGCACTAGCATAATGGTGAAAACAACTTGAATATCTACTGTAGAAATCTGGTTTCATCAACTATGGCACATCCAAATAATGACGCCTATGCTGATATAGAATGATCTCCAAGATATATTGCTAGTTTTTGAAAAACTTTTTTTTTTGGAAGCCCCAGTGTCTCAAACTATAAAACTACTGGTGGAAAGCACAGGGGAAATACTTTAAGACACTGTAGTGGACAAAGATTTCTTAAATAAGACCCCGAAAGCACAGATAATTATCCCCTAAATAGATAAGCAGTATTAACATTGAGCTAAAAAGCTTCTGTACAGCAAAGAAAACAACAATTAGAGTGAAGAGACCCTCAGAATGGAAGAAAGTATTTCTAATCTATGCTTCATATAATAGATTGATAACCAGAATATATAGAGAACTCAAGGGGTTCACCTCCTCCCCCAAGAAAGAAAAAGCATAATTCAATTTAAAAATGGGCTGATGAGCTGAACAGACAACTCTCTAAGAAAAAATATCTGAATGGCCAAAATGCACATGAAAAAATGTTTACCATCTCTTATCATAAAAGAAATACAAATCAAAACCACAATGACACACCTTAACCCCCAGTCAGAATGGCTGGATCAAAAACAAACAAACCGAACAAAATAAAACAAAACAAAAAAATGCCTGCAAGGCTGTGGTGAAAAGAGAATCCTCTTACACTGTTGGTAAGAATGTATTAGTACAGCCACTGTGGAAAACAATATGGAGGCTCTTCAAAAACCACAAACAGAACTACATATGATCTAGTAATCCCACTCCTTGGTATTTCACAAAGGATAGGAAAATATTTAGTCAAAAAGACATCCATGTTTAGTGCAGCATTACTCACAATTGCTGAGACATGAAATCAACCTATTTTCCCAAGAACTAATGAATGGATTGAAAAAACGTGACACATATACACTATGGAATACTATTCAGAGACTCTGTCATCTGATAAAAAAATGGATGAATAAAGAAGATTTAATACTAAGCAAAGTAAGCCAGACTATGACAGTCAAACACTGTGTATCTGCTCAGTATATACTGAACGTCTGCACTGTATGGCAGAAATTGGAAGATCTGGAATATAACTGGAAGATCTGGAAATACAATAGGAGGAAGGACAAGTGTGAATACTAGAGACTATATGGAAGAGAACTGGATATTAGAGAGTCAGTAGGAGGGGCTCAGGGAAGAAACACAACAAACACAAAAATGTAAAGTTCTTTTAAGAAATTTTTTGCTATAGAGTGTGTGTGCTCACCATAGAGACAGAGAGAGACAGAGACAGAAAGCAAGAAATCAACTCCCAGGAGGATGGCCATGCCACAATCCCTTCTCCTCCATTCTCCTCTTGGGATTTTGGGCATGCACATGCACGCACCCAGCCTGAGTCTTAAGCCACCAGGTCTAGGACTCAAACCACAGTCAACTACGTGGGACGTAACTATTATGCCATCTGCTAGTTCCAAGTTCTCTTTTGAAAATGATATATTTATTAACATCTTTGATTCAATTGTAATGTAATGCATGCATACTTTGAAAAAAAACATATTGTGCACTATAGAGAAGAACAATGATTAAATGTAAATAAAGAAATCATAAAATAAATAACAGAAGACCACATTAATAAAGGGGTGGAGAATGGAAAGTTCAATCTATAGAAGAAAGGTATTATTCCAGAAGAACTGTGCAGAGCACAGGGGTGAGGATCAGCTTGACTCGGAACTATTAATGGAAGGGGGGAAAAAAAGAGAATGAGTGGGAATTTACTGAACTTTGTATAGGGTGGTTGGAATTGTTCATATTTAATAGAATGTGAAGATAATCTCCCCAAAGAGGAGGAAAGGAAGGTGAGAGAATAAAAGGATTTAAGAAAAGTGATAAAATCCTTCGGCCAGGCTGGACGCTTTCAAGGGTTTTCCCCAAAGCACTGTTAATACTATTTTGCCTTGCTAGCAATTTTCATATATCTCATTATGTGCTTTCAGCTGGGAAATGGTATCCTCCTGCCAAAACATTTTTCCCTAGCAATTGAGACTATTACCAAAGTTTACAGAAATGTTCCTAATGACCCTAAAAACAAATCTAAAATAAGTAATGTGACTCTCTCTAAATCCCAACAGAAACACGCCTACAAGTCATGTAAGCCTCTGAGTTCCTGGGTTAATGATCTCATCCAGAGACTGAATTTCTTCAATACCTGGGCCAAAGTGGCCTACACTGCAATACATCAGCGGTATGGATGGAAGCTGCTTTACACGTCTTCCTTCTTTTTATTTATAGTTTAGCAGTTTACAACATAATTTCACATGCATGTTCTCTCTGGATTCCTAGGAACATGCAAATTAAGGCAGGGAGTCTTCTTTTGTCTGTTTGCCTTAATGGACAGGGTCGCACTATATTTCTCATGATCCTCCGACTTCAGGCTCAGCAAGGGTGGGACTCTTATCGTCCACTTAAGATGAGGAAATGGAGACCTAAGAAATCAAGTGTCTTACGCCAAGAGACAGAGGTGCAACTCCAACCTAGTATATTTCTCTTTCCACTGTCCTACAGTGTGAAATAAGTAGTCATAATACAAATAGCTTGAAAGGCATGCGAGTAGCTAACATTTAACAAGTACTTCACAGTGTCAAACATTTCTCTAAGAGCTTTACGCATGCTCTACCTCACTTAATTTTCAAAGGGACCCTATGTGGTGAAGGAAGCATCATTCCCACTTTAGAGATGAGGGAAAAGACCGAAAGACATGAAGTAACTTGACCAAGGTTTCACAATAGAAAGTAAAAATATTGATATTTTAACTTAAAAAACCCAGTTCCAAAGTCTGGGTCAGACTGCCTCCTGTACAGTTTAACTGCCAGTGAATGTGAGAACGAATGCAGACATCTGGCATACATTTCTATGTATTATTTGGAGAACTTTTTAACTCTACAATTGACAAGAGTCCACAAGGTTCAGCCAAGATTTCTGTTATAAAAGCATCCCTTGGGAACCAGCAGTTAGCGTAATGGCTATGTCGCTGGACTCTCATGTAGTCGACCGCAGTTCGCGTCCTGGACCCGGTGGCTTAAAACTCACGCCGGGCGCGTGTGCGTGCGTGCTCAAGATCCCGAGAGGAGAGTGGAGGAGAAGGGATTGCGGCATGACCATTCCCTCCTGGGGGGTGATTTCTCGCTTTCTATCTCTATGTCTCTCTCTGTCTGTCTGGCGAGCGCACGCACCCTATAGCGAAAACCTCTCCAAAAAAAAAAAAAAGCATCCCTTGTTACCCAAATTAATTGCCTTATAAAAGTAATTACTATTGAAAATAAAAAGTTTGTCAGGGTAAATGATTAAATTTAGTTAAATACAACATTTTATTTTTCCATAACCCCAACCATTATGTAGGTGAATGTTATCTTATTTACTTAGTCAATGTGTATGTAGACTAATTATGCTAATACTGATAAATCAGAGAAACTTTACCTTTATTAAGCCATGATCTGTAGTAAAAGACTTGTGAGAGTTATACGTAAAGTAATGAATCAGATGTTCATCATAAAAGTTTTAAAAATGTATTTAAATAAAATCTGTGCTTTAATCTCTCAATTAAAGGAGAACAAAGTGTTGCGGACTGTACCTCTGCTAGCAGCATGCCTCCCCCAGGATAAGTGTAAAGTAAAGATTGGCCGTCGCTTCAGTGAAGAAAGGTAAACTTTTAGGGCAATTTCAAATATCATACTTATTTTCTACATAGAGCGCACGCACCCTATAGCGAAAACCCCTCCAAAAAAAAAAAAAAAAGCATCCCTTGTTACCCAAATTAATTGCCTTCCAGCCTCTGTGGTTTCCCTTTCCCTTCAGAAGCTCTAAAGCATAACTGGTTTTCATTAAAGTACAGGATAAGAGTCCTGAGATGGGGAGTGAGATAAAAGGAGGAACTTGGGAGGGAGTGCAGGAAATTGCCCAGGTCACCTGAAGATGTGCAATTATGATGCCCTTAACCGCCCCACCCTGTGGTCTGCTTGGCACCAGGTACATGAGATTTATCACGGCTCGTAAGCAGACTATTCCTAATGCCACACACCCTGCAGATCTGGAAAGCAATTTCTTTGAAGGATTTCCTGCAAAATATTGGCTCCCAGCTTTCTTCTTTCCACAAGGTGAGCCCAGGTGAACCAGGATCAGCCCTACATTCTGCCAGACAAGTGTGTACTCATTCTATCAAGAATACGTATATTCTATGTATTCTTCCTCCTCTCCTTTTTAAGAGGCCCAGATGACAGCATCTGTACCCCAGTACCCGCTTGCATGTACTAGCAGTATCTCTTCCCCGCTCCTCACCCACTTCCTTCTCTGATCCCAATTCCTCACACCCCAAAATAGACGTACCCTCCTCAGACCTTACCTGTACCTTGGCAGGTCACTTTCTCAGCTCTCGCCCATTGACTGTGATGTCAAAGGCAATGCGAAGCCCTTCTTCCAAAGGCCGCTATAAAGAGATGGAGATGGGCACCTAACCAAAAGATTGATTCTTTGCTTCAGCTACTCGTTCATTTATACATTTAACAAAAACTGACAACTGAATGTTTGCTGGGATCTGGGCCCCATCTGCTCAGCACAAACTTCTAACAAGAAAGACAGGCATTAGCCAGGATGCATTACGACAGTGTGAGGTTGGGGGTTGCAGAGGGAGTCATAAAGGGGTAACACTAGACTGCAAGTTCCATGAGGGCAGGAACCTCGTCTGCTCTTACTTCTGTTGTGTCCCTGGTGCCTTCTACAGACACAGCCTCCAAAAGCTCTCAGTAAATACTTGAAGAATTAATGAATGAATGACTTTCTGAAAGGATATATAAATGTATCAGTACTTTAGAAGCATGGAATAGGGAATTTAACAAAGGGCCAATTACGTCTATCCAGGTAGAGCTAGAGGAAGAGGAAAATTAATAGCACTTGTACAGTAACTTATGGGGCCCATACACTATTTGGGGGGCTTAGTATAAACTATCATTCCATTTTCATGACAATCTTGGAAAGTTGTTACCGTAATTATCCCTATTTTCAGAGAGAAAAACCTTAGCACAGGGAAGTTAAGAAATTTGCCCAACTCAAACAAATTTGTACAAAAAGCAACAGGGAAAGCGAGAGATCACCACCCCCGCAATCCCTTCTTCTTCATTCTGCTCCTGGGATTTGGAATGTGTGAATTTCAAGCTACCAGGTTCAGGACTCAAACCACAGTCAGCCTTGTGGGAGTCCAACACCTTAACGGATTTGGAGCAAGCGCACATATGCACACATATGTACCTAGTGTGAATTTCAAGCTACCAGGTTCAGGACTCAAACCACAGTCAGCCTTGTGGGAGTCCAACACCTTAACCACCGTGCCACCTGCTGGCTCTGAATGTGGCCTATTTGACTTAAGTCAAATGTTTAAACAAGGCACTAAACAGAACAGCATTTTTATTAGAGAAAATACCATTCAAAGGCCCAGAAATAAGGGAAAAAGCACATTTGAGAAACCAAATGACTACTGGGGCCAGGGCAAGATCCACAGAGGGAGAATGGTGAAGGATGAAGCTAGAAAGATGGTGCAGAGTAGGATCCAGTCTTGTGCATCATACTAAAAGGGAGTTCACTCCATCAGGTGGTAGTGGGAACCACTGATGTTTTTGAGGCCAGAGAGATCATGATTCAATAGCCAAGTCTGGGTTCTGGTTATTTAGGAAGTCTGCTTCTTTCTCCAAGCAGACGTTGGTAGAGGGGCTGAAGAAAAGTAGAGTAGAAGGGAGTTTAAGAAGCAGAACCAGGACCAGCAGTTACCATAATGGCTATGTCGCTGGACTTCCATGTAGTCGACCACGGTTTAAGTCCCGGACCCAGTGGCTTAAACTCACGCCGGGTGCATGTGCATG